TAACACTGAAATAAAAAAAAGTTTGGACTGACCTGAAGTCACCTGAAGATGAATGAAAAGAACTGTTAGCTGCATTTAGTTCTGGTACTTCATGGCATAGTTGTTAAGTACATGTTTTTCACTTTTTGTAGCTCCCAGGTTCTAATAAATCCATAAACCCGAGGAATAATCATACTGTAAAACTTTGAAACAATGTTTTTCAAACTTCGGAACTTCAAGATGTGGGACTTCAACTCTTAGAATGCTGGCTGGGGAATTCTGGAATATTCAAAATTGTTCAAAACTACAGGGGTGACTGAGAAAGCAAAAGGATTTTCTGTCCAAATGGAAAATATAACAAATAGTTTAATTGATTATATTGCCATTCAGCTGCTTTTTTTTAAAAAAAATTGTTTTTATGATTTTTCAAAAGTTTAAATTATCTTTAGTAATTAGCTGATAAGGGTAACAAACCTATTAAGTGTAATACTCTCATTTTTCAAATGAATCAGTTTCTCATAAAAGCAGGAATCAAATGTTAACTTCTTTCCCAATTAGCATCCCAATTAGCTAACCATATGCCTGATTGCCTTCCATGCTAGAAATAAAACAGTTTCTACTATTTTAGAACCAAATAAGTAGGAAGATTTGTCAAGTAATAGTTCTCCAACTGAGGTTGTAACAGGAGACAAACAGCATCATTTTCATTCAAATGAAACAGAAGTTAACTAATATGGCCAATTATATAATTTAAAGGCAGGAAAATATAAACCAGGAGAATTAAGCCTCCCATTTATCAAATGGAAACTGCAACTTTGAAAAAGAGAGATTGGGAATTTGACCTTTCAGTAAAAAATGCATCCACTAACTAGGAATTCATTTAAACATCAAAGATAGTTTGAGGTAGTTGCATATTTGATTAGTTGAAGTAGTTGAATAACAAGATGGAAAGAAATTGAAACATCATAGCTAAGTTAACTATGCTAAATGATAATAATACTGATCTATTCAAAGAGAAAAAAAACTATTGGATAGTGATGTGGAACTTTTGTGACTTACTAAGTAAGCATGGCTAAATGTCTATGGAGATTCTCAATCATCCAGGTCATGGTTGTCCTAAAGGTGCTGTTCAAAGGCAACTAGACTTTTTAGGGTTTTTTCCCCCTTGAAAACTTTTCACTTCTCATCCAAGAATTAGGATTTTTCAACCAACACAACATACTTGCACACTTTAAACTCAACAATATATTAAGGGTACATCCCAAGGATAACCCCCACACACACACACACACTGTGCAATGTGGTCTATGCAGTGCAATGCCATGAGACAATGCCATTGGTGAAACAAAACAACCACTTCACAAATGCACAGCATGATATAGGAGAACAAACCCATCAGGACAAGATTCAGCAGTCCGTCTGCATCTGAAAGACAAAGGCCACTCTTTTGAAGACAGCAAAGTCCACATTTTGGACAGAGAGGACCACTGGTTTGAAAAAGGGGTCAAAGAGGCCATCTATATTAAAACCGAACAGCCCTTTCTTAACAGAGAGGGAAGGATAGGACACTACCTATCTCCTGTCTACAACATAGTCCTTTCAGTAGCAGCAAGAAGGTTCCGCACCTATTTGCATTCTGACTCAGATGACTCTAAAGCAGTGATGGGTTGCCCCCGGTTCGGACTGGTTCGCAAGAACCAGTAGTAAAACTGGCAGGTGGCTCCGCCCACTGATGTCATCATAAGTGATCTGCGCATCCGCAGAAGAGCACGCTCAGGCACAAGGCGAATTAGTAGTAAAGGTAAGTAGAACCCATCCCTGCTCTAAAGTACAGATAAACTCCTCGATGACTCAGAAAACTAATGACTGACCTTCAGAATGCTAACAGCCAGATAACTGCTAAGAATATATATCCTTCCATCTTTCCCCACCATTCAGCCAGAACTAAAGAAGCTTCTTGGATGAGAAGTGAAACATTTCCAAGGAACGCCCCCCACCCCCCAAGAAAGTCCAGTTGCCTTTTAAACAGCACATGATACCAATCTACCTCCCAAAACACCAGCAGAGGTTATTACAACCCCTTCTATTCCTGAAGCTCTTGTGTTTATTTGTTTGTTTTAAATAATATAACTCTAGGCTGCTAGCAGCAAGTTTTAAAAAAAGCAACTCAAAATATTTAAAACAGCTAGGGCAGACAATCAAGCATGGTGCATCTGAAGTCCGAAAAATCCACCCCATCTTGCAAATGACTAAAGACAGAAAATCCAGCTGGGCTTAGCTAAGATCCTGGTTTTAAGGCTAGAGGGAAAAACCAAGCCTTTAAAGCCTCGTGAAAGATTTCTAGACGCTAGATGGCACTGCTTTATAATAAAGAGCTGGAGTTACAGGCATTGGAAAATACAGCAGCACCTTCCCAGTCAGTCCCTACAGACGAGCGCAAGTAGATATACCACTTAGTCCAGATAGCAAAAATATAGCTTGATGTTTATTTATTAAACATCAGCAAGCATTAACTGGCAAAATGGAACAAAAGCAGGGAGTGAACACATTAACAACAGGCAAGCATTTACATTATCAAATCTTGCTAATATTAAAAGGTACAGAGACAGTGGCAACAATTTAGCTGGCCAGAATCACTTGTGTCCTTTTTGTTCTCATGTCCTCCATCCGGCAAGCATAGCCTCAAAATCACATATTGTCTACCTTTTTCTTTTGTCTTCTCTTCCACTGTTTCCACAATACTAGTCATTGAAACTTTCATATATTGTGACCTGTCTGCTTCTTTCTTTCCCTCATCTGTCAAACAGACTTGACAGCCGAGACTTTTTGTTACTTAATTTAGTTCCCGATTCTAACTATCAAGGCAGCCCTTTCAGATCACTGTAGTCTGCAAATCCTCCGAGGCATTCCATGAGTTTCTGTGGTGAAATTTGAAAAGCATGTTGTCATCAACTAGCATGTGTTCTTGAAAATAAAGTTTTGTGGGGGGAAAATAAACCACGACTGGAAAACTAGTCTCTCTAAAAGTGGAATAAATTAATTTCATTTGCATGTAGATTCCAGTACTTTTTTTTTTTTTTTGGCAGGATTTTGTGCCATTTTTGACACAGATGCCAAGAAACATAAACTGTTAGTGTCTCCTCCTTTTCCCCAACCCTTTGTTCTGCTTTTCAATTGTCTCTGTCCTCTTCTGGCAACCCTACTTCTGCCTGAAATGAATGATAGAAATATCATTTATATTTATATAAATGATATAAACAAACAAACAAACACACAAATAAATATTGTGCTATCTTTAACGCCACAATGAGATTCAGTCCCTTCATTCTCTTCACCTTGATTTTACTAAATAATTGTGTAAATTTTCACAAGGGGCCCACAGTCTCGGAAAGGGGTCCATGCATTGCAATCTTGCCTTCATGTGCAAGCTATAGTACCAGTAGTGGGATTCAGCCAGTTATGTCCAGTTCGTGTGAACTGGTAGCGCCGACTAGGGTAGGTCACGCCCACCCGCCAGGATGTAATGCCGTCCTATTTTGCCATGTTGTGGAGGCTGTGCGCATGCGTGGAAGGCGCGAGTGAGAGCAAATAGCATGCGTGGAAGGTGGAAGGTGGCTCATGCGCCAGGGATGAGTTCTACTTACCTTAATTACCGGTTCGCAACAGGATCGTGCATGCACAGATCGCTGATGATGACATCTGGGGCTGTGGGCAGGGCCTCCCGCCGGTTTTACTACCAGTTCTTGTGAACCGGTCTGAACCGGGGGCAACCCACCACTGGAGTGTGCTCACATTTGAAAACCGGTAGAGAAGGTAAGTGAATTCCACCTCTGTATAGCACCCTGGTTCTGGCTTAAGACTTGGACTGCGCTGTGCCTCCCTTCTCATCTCCTTCCAAGCACCTCTCACTGAACTAAATTTTATGTACAAATACAAAAAGCAAAATGTGCATACAATATCGAAATATGTTTGAAGCAGTGGTGGGTTTCAAAAATTTTTACTACCAATTCTGTGGGCGTGGCTTGGTGGACATGGCATGGCTTGGTGGGCATGGCTTGGTGGGCATGGCAGGGGAAGGATACTGCAAAATCCCCATTTCCTCCTGATCAGCTGGGATTTGGGAGGCAGAGAATAGATGGGGGCAGAGCCAGTCAGAATTTTTACTACCAGTTCTCTGAACTATTCAAAATTTCCGCTAGGGTTCTCTAGAACTGATCAGAACCTGCTGAAACCCACCTCTGACTTGAAGGATGCTTGGCTGGTGAGAGACCGATTATTTAGCACCTTTCATCATTCCCAAATCTCATTACCCCAGATAGCTATTCTTCAAATCACAGAATTCTTAGCAACTGCATGCTGCCTGAAGAATTGTGAGAGGTAGAGTTTATACATTTGAAGAACACTCAGGTTGATGGGAAAAAAAAGTTGACTACTATTGGGTGGTGTGGGGAGGGAAGTGTGGCCAAGAGAGAAGAGGGAAAGGCAATGACCCAATGACTGGTTCTTCAGCATCTCATGACCCTTTGACCTCATGATCTACTGACTCAAAAGCCTATCACTCTGCTTTGCTAATCTGAGGTCAGATTCTTTCTTCTACTTTCTACATGTGCACACACATAGCATGTTTTAAAACTTTTCTCTAGGATCTGGTGGGCAATTGTAGCAACTTTACGACTTGTGGATTTCAAATCCCAGAATTCCTGAGCCAGCCTTTAGGAATGATGGGAATTGAAGTCCACAGGCTGTTAAGTTGCCATAGCTGCCCACCCCTGATCTACGATGTACCTAGACAGGTTTTATCTGATCCTATAATATAATCGTGAAAGTAAATATGTTGTATTTATAAAACCTGCTTCACTAATCATTGGTCAGGTCAAATTCCCACTCTCAGGAATGGGATGAACACAGATAATGTTGTTTCAGCCTCCAACACCAAGTGTTATAGAATCTGGAAATGAACCACCTTAGACAAAAAAAATAAAGGAGGACAGACAGTAGGAATTATTCAATGAGAATCAATATTTTCCATACAAGAATTTGTAGCTATTTTATTGCACTTAAACACCAAGAATAAATTTGACAACCCTTATTTCCCCCCTTCACCCCAAAAAATATAGCATAAAATTTTAGCAGTGATCATTTGTTCACAGCCACAGCTTCAAAAAAACTGGAAGAAAGAACCCAACACGATCACGCTGCTTTACAATTCTGATTCACGTACAAAAGATACTGAAGATTTTTTTGTTTGTTTTGAGTATTCCAGTCACATCAAGTTGCAAAAGAGAGGGAGAAACTCTCTGAAGTTTTTATTTGCTTACATTACAAAGCTGCTTTTTTTTTTCTTTTCGGTTTGCTTTTGCTTTTTGCATTCGTGTGAAATAAATATTTCCAAAGGTATTTCATATATATATATACATATATATTGTGTGTTTGTTATTTATATAATATATATTTATATATACACATAGTTCCATTTAACTTTTTTCCTGTTACTTCCCCCTAAAGTTAAAAAGTCATAAAATTGTGCAACACTTAGAAAATGAAAATCCTGAAATTCCCACAGATTTTATTTTAGGGCAGAAAAAAGTCAAAAGGTGGCTTGTTTGCAGCCATGCAAGAACTGAAGAGAAGGAAGTAAACCAATCCCAAAAAAACAGAAAATAGAAGATAACTGGGAGGGGGAAAAATAGCCTTTATTCCCAGCCATGCGGGAAGCCAAGTGATGGAATCTTCATTCGGAATCTCCATTTGTTTAGAGGGGGAAAAATAATCTCACCAGCCTAATTGACACTGAACAATGTCATAAGATCTGCTATGAAATTCAAAAACGTGCTTATTTTCTAGAGCCAGGAATAAGTTGATTTGCAAAATAACGAATTGGTAAATGTATAGTGCAGCAGAAAATATTCTTCCATTATTCTTTTAAAATTAGTTTCTGAATTCACAAACTATTTCACCTGGAGTAGCCTCATCTTGTCCAATTTACTAGAGCTAAAATAGATACATTGATTTATTTAGAAAATCTTCAGAGAAAGAGATATCTCCATACCACTATATAAAAATATTAATAGACAAAGCACACATCAGCCCTGGTTTCCTAGTTTATAAAGAGTAATGTCCAGACAAGACCTCCTGCATTGCAGTTTATGGATGAGATTTGATTTTGAATTAGTTTGAGTGTCATTATCCTTTCATTCATGATGCTTTTGTTGCATGTTGTTTCTTAACTATAAGTGCATGAATTGCTTTTTTGTTCAAAATGTTTGCTATTTAATTGAATATGCTTCCATTACTTTGATGTACTATCCAGAAAGTCATATCTGGGTCTGATATTTCTGTATGGGACAATTTTTGTTAGATTATAAAAATCAACCACCACCACCTGCTTTAAAGAAAGGTGTGTGTGTGTGTGGGGGGGAAATCAATGACATTTCTTGGGGAATGGGTGGAAAGAAATATAAACAAGCTGTAAATTTTGTTATAAGGAATAAAAAAAGATGACAACAAAGGAAGAACAGAGAAATGTTATGATTTGCTGTCCAAACATTAACAAAGATATTGTATTGGAAAAAGTTAGCAATCCATTAAATACCAAAATCATTTCCCTCTCCCTGCCAAAATAATTTAAATAAAAATAGAAATGGTTCTTTTTACAGGATAAAATGATGTACAAGTATGTAAGCTACTTCTTCCCCACATGGTTTATGTTACAATCAAGAAAGGTACGGGGTTGTTTAATCTATGAAAACAGGTCAGTCTTCAAAGGTAATATTAATTTTGATTATGAGCCCTAGCAGTACAAAATAAATAATAAGAATGCTCTGTATTTTATTGACAATTTCTTTGCAGATACTTGGAATCATTAGAAATGAGCCATTAAAAATGCTAGAAATCTGAAAAAGTAAGCAAGGACAGAAAATGTAGAAGAGAAACAAGTATAGCAATGGATAGTAATGTGGCTATAAATGCTTCCTTAGTTAAGAAAAAAAAGTTTTAGCAATGCCAATGCAATCCGGAGGTTTAAAGTGCAGGTGCTTATGTCAGATGCAGCAGGCAAAACTCAAAGGAGTTGAAATACATTTCAGTCTGTCAGGTTTTTTTTTTTACTGGAAGACTAAAAACTCAACTCAGCTTCCTCTAGACTCCAGCTTCTCTTAGCTTATCAAAGCATTGTTTTTTTTAATGATGATGGAAGCTATAAAATATTACAAAATGCAGTGTTTAAGTTGCCACAAGAAAGATACTCAATGGCGACTCTTGATAGAAAACATGGGTAGGAGACTATTTCTACAAGTGAAAACTCAGACAAGGTAGGCTGTCAAGGTTTAGCAACACTGAAACTGTTTTAAGATTTATTACCTAAACTGAGATTTTCATGAGGAAAGAGCACAAGAGTAGCTCTCTAGCCAGTTATTTAAGGATGAACAAGTTAAAAGGAGATTCAAGCTCAAAAGAAGATCCATTTCTTCCTTGGAATCCAGGGCTGAGTAGAAGGCTTAGTGATACTCAGTATAAAATTATATTATGTGAGAGAATGACCCTTCAAAAATAGGTGTCCATGATAGTGAGGGCCATGTTAATGTGAAATATCAGGATACTATTGGGTAAGGAAGCCCCCCAAATGTTCTAAAACCCAAGTAGTTTAAATATGAACATGTATTCAGATCCATACAATCATACAATACCTCTTGAACTCTAAAAGCCCTCCCAACTCAAATAATCTCAATATAATTCTTCACAGCTCCAATGGAGCATTGAATCATCCAATTATGTTATCAGTTTTGTGTAAATGGTATATTTCTACTTTGTTCCATGTAAAAAAGTAAACTTCTATTTAAGGCAATCAAATCCTATCAAGTAGGCGCCCTGTAATTGTCATCACTTCCCCCCTGCTCCAGTGGGAAATTATTCTTGCATTTTGCAAACATAGCTTTATAGCATCATGTATTCACACTGTCTTAGAAGATGGAAAGCTAAGCATTTTACGGAAAAGGTAAAACTACATCATTCAAAATGTATACAGCAAGCTTATCCATTTTCTGTTGTAATTGTTCCTAAACAAGCATTGTTTGTTTGCTTTGAAATACATATAGCGGTTTATAAAGTTAGATGTCATGCAAATGAAGGAAGTGCCATTTATAAGTTCATTCCCCTGGTAGTAGAAGTGTATGGTAGTTAATCTCACACCAAAGAGTAAAGACTCTTAAAGCTGGAAAAAAATAAAAGGGAACAAGAAACATAGAGACTGCCAAAAAGTTTTTAAAATCCTCAGGTTTCTTATTTTTATCCTTGGAAGGCAAGTAGGTGATGCTTTCCAGGTCATTTTCAACATGTTTTCTCTATCATTAAAAAAAAAAAAAGATACAGGCTTAAGAAGAATCAATTTCTCTGTTTCTTCTAGCTGGCTTTTATGTCATGATATACTAACAGGTATTGCCACTGTTCCAAAGTTGATTCTGTCTTCATGATGCCATTCAGATGTGTAGTATGGATTGTCAGACTTCCGCAGCATATAACAAGTGAACCTGACAGGGTTCTTGTATTTGTGTAAACTTCTTTCTGCCTTTCCATAGGGCCATGTCACACATCCTTCTTCCCCGTTTTTAGTTTCTTGTACTTTTTTACACTTTTCATAACAATTTATCACAAGTCAACTCCAAATGTAAACAATAACATATTAAGTCACCCACCCCACCCCAACTTTATTTAAAAAAAAAAAATCAACCACAAACCCAAACAGTTGATATTTCTAGGTATTACATAAAGATCCATTTCAGCAATACTCAAAAGTTTACGAAATAACACGGGTTTCATTTTTCCTGTAAAAAGGCATGCAAAGTACAAGAAATAGCGAAAGGTTTCATTTTGTTTGTTAAAAGCATCATCGAAATGCCTCAAAGTGTCATTTGTAAAGTTTGCATTTTCTATCTTTGCTGGAAAGGGTTGGCCTCTCTTTTTATTTCAAATTAAGGGGCAGTTTGGTTCCACACCATAGGTATCTTCCATGCTGCCATGTTTCCTGAAATTTATATGTAGGAAAGGTGGATGAAAGTAGGCTTTGGGAGTCATTTGCTGATTTATTTGATTGTTAACGGCTTAGTGCTACCAAAATTCAGCTGACTGCTAGATAGTAGTAAAGAGAGATAGCCCAGATCTGGGAGTCCGGCTACTGCTATTAACTAATTAAGAATCCAAGTCTTGGAGAGGCAGAGAGAAAATAAAATTCACAATGTTAAAGGTAAGGAAACAAAAGGCCTGCTGAGACAAAGACAAAGTCAAACTCAGTAGCCTATTAAGTCAAAACAGCCCTTTTTTTAAGGCAGCTGTTTCCCAACTGATCATAAATAAATGAAGTTCCTGTTATAAATTGAATAGTCGTAATTATTTTGAAAATATCTCATTATAGTGAAAACTAACATGGAAATAATTGCTGTCATGTCAATATTTTCAAGCTATTATTTCTTTTATGGTTACTTAGAACAATGTTTTTTTGTTTTTTTTAAATTAGGCAGCTTTAAGATGTGTGGACTTCAACTCCCAGAATTCCTCAGCCAGGATGGAGAGTTGAAGTCCACAAATCTGAAAATTTCCAACACTGACTTAGAGTCATAGTCATGATGACAAACTACTGGCCATTTCCTTTCAGCTCAGTCTCTGAAAAAAAAAAAAGAAGAAAAGGGGGCATTTTTCTTGCTAGAATTGTTAGGAATATCTGTTGGCCTAATCATAAAACATATTCTGATAGGAAGATAATGATATATTTTACAAGCCATTCAAAATAAAACTTAATTCACTCCAAGAAAAAATTGTGAACATAGAGATTTTCTCGAGTAATAGAAAGTTGTTTGGAATTTATGTAATTAATAGTTTAAACCAAATAATTTTGTTTATTTACTAGATGCATATGGCCATCTAATATGTTAGTTGCCTGCCTCCTGGTTTTAGGAACATGTGACATCTGATTTAGTTGACAGCTGGTTCCAGGTACAACTGAAAATGCTGGCATTGACTCAGAGAGGCTTCTTCACGTGGTGTCTGGATGTTCCAATCAGAATGGCCTCCAATTAGGAGGAGCAGCTACTTGTAGCTTGCAACTTCCAGAAGATGGGGAGGCAGGGGGGCTGAGGCCAGAAAGTGCTGGTTTTCTAATTGATGAAGGCTTTATCTCGGCCTCTTCCATGTTGGTTTCTTGTTGTCTACAGAAAGCCGTTTCCTGCAACAGGGCCATGACACATGCCGTCTTCTACTAGGATGGCACAGAATAGCAAACATGAACCAGGTGAAACAGGAGGAGAGAAGTCTACTAAATGCTCAGTTTATTTTGGTAAGGAGTTCCGAGGGTAAAAGGAATTCCCAGCAAGAAACAAATAGGAGAGCCAGCTGCCAAGTTCCCTAGATAAAGGATAACAAGTATCTTCCTTTTGTAGTGAGGCAGTGAGAAACTTGGCCTGCAAGGCAGGTGCTTCAGCTGAAAGACACAAAAAGAAATAGTTATTTTACTCCAACCAAATCCTGTTTTCTAAAACTGGTTCTTCACTGCTAGCCTTTCTTGCCTCCACATAATTATTTTTGTCACTTGTCTAAACCTCTATGAATGTTCTCTGTTGACAAATATGGAACCTTGTTTGCTACTGGTGTCTAGCTTTCACAATCTGGGGAAATAAAGATGGCCTTTAACAGCAAGTACTGTATGTATTTTTATAGGAGGTTGGCTGCTATGTTGGAAGGGCTTCGTCTTAACAATGATCCCCTGGGACTGGAGGAGAACAGCCTGCTAAGAATTGCCTAATGACCAGCTGCTATTATAGATGTGGGGAATGATGCCCCTTTTATGACTTGTGGACTTGAACTCCCAGAGTTCCTGAGCCAGCAGGGGAGTTCTGGGAGTTGACGTCCACAAGTCCTAAAGGGGCCATTGTTCCCCACACCTGTGCTATTAGGTTCTGTTAGGGTTGGCCCACAAAGCCCCAAGAACTGCTTAAAAAAGAGAAGAGAGAAGATGGAAGACAGCATATCCAACCCTCAAATTCTGATATAAAAGAATATGCAAGACAGAGCATACACATGTAAGCATCAACCCAGTTCTAAAAATGTGCTTCACTGCAGCTTTTTAGGGCTGGTGGGTAGGGGTGGGCAAATTTTCCTCCACCCAAACACTATTTTCTCAAACTGGTTCTTCACAGATAGCCATTCTTGCCTCATAGAAGTAATTATTTTTGTCACTTATTTAATGTATGAATGTCCTCTGTAGACAAATACGGAATCATCTTGACAGTTGTGCATGTTTATATGTTTGATAAATTAATTTAATGAAATTCTTACCCGTCTATAGCAGCCAAATGAATAGGCGCAGCTCTACTTTGCATGGAAAGGGTCATATTGTACCTAACATCCATGTAGTTGTTACATATAAGAACCCAACAGAAAAAAAAAATCAATTCCAGAAACATGGCTGAATGCAGAAGAATGCAAAATCCACACTTTTCAGAGCTAAGCACTCGATGCTTTTAATGGGTGAATCATCTAGTGTTGTTCAACCCCAATCTACAATTTTTCCACCCCTCCATGAAGAATTTTACATAGTTTACTAAATTTCTTATTTAAAAAAGAAAAAGAAAAAACTAATCCCATGTTTCAAATTCTTACTGCTGGGTCATCACTCTTTCATCATAGGCTGTCAAACCCCCACAGCACAAAATAGTATACAAACCCATTACATAATACTATGATGTAATAGTATGGATACAATAATGGAATAGAAAGAATGGCAGTTTCTTTAAAAAGAAAAGGACCACTTATTTATTTAATAAATGCAATTTTATTCAAACACATTAATGTAAGCTAGAAAAAAAATACCCATGCCTCTGAGAAGGATATGAACAAAGGAAGGGTTAAGTTTATGCTATCTTGGATCCATTTAAAGTACATTAAAATATACTTCATTCTTGTAAAAGCCCAATAATACATTAATGTTTGTTCAGCTTCATTGTTGCACTTCTCTAAAGAGCTCTAAATTTCACAGATGATGAAACAATACTGCATGTTCATATGTTGGATGCATTAACAATGGCTTTAACTGATTTTTTTTTTCACTATCTTCTTTAGAATGAATTTTTGAATCCATATTTTACATTGACACACCTGTATACTGCTACCTGTGTGTCAAGAGAAGCAATAATAGGAATCAGCATAGCTTGGGACTGACTTACTGTGGTAAAACCGAAGGTGCTCCAGATCTGTGGAAGTGAACAATTTGCCATTTGCCATCCCGGCGGTGCCAGATTCGTGTCTCCTCCGATTGGGCAGTGCGTGGGATCCCACTTGTATCCACATACTGTGTGATACGAATGTAAGCGATGCAGGCAGACTCATCTCCCATTAAGTGGATATGTGGATTCAGGATGGTTGTGTGAACGGGCTTGCTGTTCCTGGACCACACTGCAGATGGGGGAGGGGGGGGAAGTCAATGATATGAAGGCAGCTTCCAAGATCTTCTCAGGGTACCTGGGAGATTATTACCTCATTCATGGGGAAATAGCTGAATCAATTTGGAAAAAAAGGGCGTGCAATACATTTTGCTAGGATTTCAGTGTATGTTCCAGCCACATTTCAAACAGAATGCAATATTTCTTTCAAAGGTGTATTTCTATTATTCATTGACTACAAACGCTTTTTGCTGCTCCAATTCAAACCTAAGTTTAAGAAGCTTAATTTAACAATTGTGCAAATCTTTTACCCCAGACTCAGAATGTAAAAATATGCATTCCACATTGAACACCTATGATTTTGTGTAAACCTTTGAGAATCACTAAGAATAATCTGTATGAATGGGGATTTAAAGCCATATGAATAGGAATTTAAATACTTCTGTTTAGCCTTTTAATTGACATTGGAATTGGATTGGAATTAGCCTTCCATCACAGCAACCTCTCAGATTTTTTTTACAAACAACCAGAGAACTGTAGAAACGTAATAGTAAATATATATACAGCATCAACTCAATGAAGTCAAATTTTTGACTTCATGAAAGGAAGAGTAGACAGAATATAAATGCAACTTCTCTGCTTTAACAACCTAGAGTTACCAATTCTAGCTCAAACTATTCCTTGAAATTTTCCCATCTCTATCTATCTCTATCTATCTCTGTTTCATCTATATCTATCTATCTGTGCATGTGTAATTAGAAGCCATTTTCCAAAGGACAAAGTCTGAAGGGGAGGAAGAGAGGATAAATTAAAATTAATTGCCTATAGTTGATGGTATTTAAATAGTGCAAATAAATAAATAAAGATGGCCTGTATAATTAATTCTTCAATTCACATATAATGACTATTCTCTCTTACAAGCAAAGCACTCTTCCATATAGAAATACATAACTATGCCCTCCCCTTTCCATCCTTGATTGCTTAGGCATTAAACACACACAGACATATACAGAATTAAATTCAAGTCCAGCAACTTTTCAAATCATAAGAATGCTTACAGTTTTCAAAGTAGAATCGATGGAAATCCAGCCCTTCCACCAGGTTCCCCAGAGCTTCTGGTTCAAATGCCGTCATTCCGGGGTCACACATTTTACTAGAGATGTCCATAAAAAGGTAGAGGATTAAGAAAAATAATTATCTCGCTACTCAAATGTACTTAGAAGCTTTTCATCATGCTGAAAAAGGGTGAGAAAGGGCTGTGAATGGAGGTAGGCTAATATCTCCAAAAAGACTGTCCTTCACTGCTTCCAAGGATATTTATTTGTTTATTCAGTTAACTCATAAGCCACCCATCTCAATCCAATTGACAAGACAAGGTCAATTGTGAACACGTTAAGCACACTGAAGCTGAATTCAAAGAGGAGGTGGGGGTTGCTATATGAATTTGGTTTGACTTGGGATCAAAGTCCCTTCCTCGTATGTCGCACTGAAGAATCACAGGCTCATTTTGAGAGAAGTGGCAATCCTTGTTAGAAGTACTTTGTACCAATCTACCTTAATATATATCTTTATAAGTTCTATGCTGGAATAGTGAGACATAGGTTTACATAATATGCTTAGGGGTATTTTTTAGAAGGATGAATTAAAAGTCCATGTCAACTGTGTGACAAAAACTATCCTGCTGCTGGTTGACTTCTGATACAATTTAAAGAGAAGGTTTCAATTCCCAAGTGCTAGATGTACTTGCTCCACATGTTATTGTGTTTTTTTAAATTTGCTAGATGGGAATTCTTTGCTACTGTTTTGTTATCAGTTTATGATTTAAACCATCTAATACTGTACCGATTATTCTTAAAAAGAAGGTATGGCAGACTTTATAGATTTCTATGTTTGAGAAATCCATTTTAAAAAGAAAATAAACCATAAAGTAATATTTTAGTAAAGGGAGAAAATAAACAATTGTTTCCAAATAAAACGTTCTGGTTTTTTTTTTTAAATGTATGTAAACTAATCTCTTATCTCATTACCTACCAAGGATATACCCTTGTAATTCATGGATGTTTTGCTACCATTAATTAGCTTTTCTGTCTTTCCTTTTAATAATGAAAAAAACATGGGTTTACAAATGAAGGTCAGTATTGTCTGACTCCACCACAATATTGCAAGAACGAGCAATTTACCTTATTTGAATCATCTCATAAAAACGTTTCCCATTAATTCCATATGTCTTTCAAGTTATCTGCTAGGCTCTAACAATGATATGTTTGAATCACCTTGCTACTTAATTATTTACAGAACTAGTAGTGGTTTTTGAATACTTGCTTTTAAAAAACTTCATTGTCAGGGATAAAAGAAAAACAAGATCTTTATCCCCTATTCTTCATTACTGCATTAATGAAGTTCATTCTCTCAGTCAGGCATCATAATTTAGTCAGCAGTAACAGCTGAGATTTATCACTGGTCCAAAATAATCCATTTCTTTGTAATTATGATGGAAGATAAAACAAGATAATTTACAATGGACAGAGAAATAGAAAGTTCCTGAGGACCATTTCTAGCTGTGTTTTAAATACCAATCAAAGAAAGCTTGCCTAATTTGCTTGCCTTCATAGCAAGCTGACATTTCAAAACCAGCCAACATCACTATGCTGTTTTCCATAGATAAGGCATTTAGAATCACTAACTACACTCCTACACACTGGGCAAGCTGAGAGGACTGCTTTTTCCCTCTATACAAACCAAAACACACAGCAGGTACACTCACGTGTAGGACTCAAAGTCTCCGTTACTTATTGCTTCAATCAGCTGCTCTGTCACCTTAATAATTTCCTGTTTTCGTACTGTTGGATTTTAAAAAAGAGAAGAGAAACAGTGAAATTGGATGGAAACTGACAATGATAAGTAGCCCTTCTTAGCTATGCTGAGCATAGGAAACGCATAAAATATGATTGGGCATAGAAATCAAATTTCATTATTTGGAGGATCCAGTTTCTATTTCTTACTGCTTTGAATATATATTCAAGACTTTGGGACACCTCAGCAGCCACACTGATGATAAATAAGATTTTCAGTATCTCTTAGGGGTGGTTTTTTGCATATCGAAAACTATCTGAACCGGAATGAATTATGCAAAGTAAACACAACTGCAGCAGCAATTACACAAAACCAAAAATTAATGAGTGTGCTGTCTTTTACTTTAACATCTTCTGAGGGTGAGGAACACAGCACTTCTGCACTACTGTTTTGTGCCATGTGGAGATTGGCGTCATCCCTCATTAACCTCACTTCACCCGGAATTCAGCTTTGGTTTTGGCCCTGGTTTGTTTGTTTATTTAACTACTGCAAAGCTGGTGCTTTTCTTTGCAGTTGTGCAAGTTGTGGGGGTGGGGGTGGGGGTGGGGGTGGGTAGTTCACCTCCCCGTTGCATAAACTTTTGCCTCATCTCACTTCTTGGCTCTGAGCTCAAGGCAAAAATCCGTTATCTCCCAAGAATAATTTAGCATCATATTTTTGAAATTTGTCTGTTCCTATATGCATTGTTTAGAACTCATCCCTCTTCTTTCCCCTCCCCCCACATCCAATTACAGCTGCAACATGCAATTATGATCACAGCTATTGGAAAAAGCAACCAATAGCGAAATTGTTAATGTACTTGCATTTCACCTTCACAGATGTTTAAATATAACAATAGCAGCAAGGCAGCTGGGAAGTGTTTGGACTATTTTAATGCTGTTTCTTTTTAACAATTGACCTTCCCTTGAAGAACTTCTTATCAGATTTTTTTCCCCAGAAGTCAGCAAACACTGAAAAAATATGGATGGGAAGGCTAGTAATTTATTTTTCCATTTAGGGGTTACAAGAGTCATTCAGAAAGTGGAACACTCATTGAATTATCTTCTTTGAACCCTCCCTGGAGTAGCATGGAGAAAAGGTGAGCATCAGCTGGCTGATAGAGCTTTCCAAAGCTGGTTAGCCCCAGCTAATGAAGCATCATAGCTCCAGGGACATAGCATCCATAAAGGAAAGATATAGGAGATGAAGAAAAGCAAAAATGTCTCAATAGTTTATGTCTGCTTTTTCTCAGAAAGGAACTGACGTCTCAATGACTACTGTAGTATCACTGATGGAAGGAAGGAGTTGCAGCTAATTCTAAACAAGGGGAAGATAAAAGCATACTTGGCAAATTTAAACAAATTCCGATCTCCAGGATGAATTACTAGGACACGGAAGGATGTAGAAGTGATGGCTGCAAAACTCTTGCAATCTTTCCTGGAAAACTGGTGACAATCTCCCAAAAGTGGAGGCAAACAAAAGGTGTCCCTGTTTTCAGAAAAGTAAAGAATATGTATGACCGAAGGAATTTCAGATCTATTAGCTTGACTGAATACTTGACCTATTAGCATATTTATGAGCACTTAGATAGGAATGAAACAATTAGCCAGAAACAGAATGGATTAATCACAAGCATAATAGAACTCTATGTTCTATATAATGGACTCATTAACTTAATAAACTGAGGGAATGTCATGGGCATAGTACATCTTGACCTCAGCAATATGTTTGACAAAGTATCTGTTATCTGTTATCCTTATTAATAAAACGGTAAAAGGTGGGCTAAAAGATATAACAGTCATAACTGGTTGAATGACCACACCCAGAAGTGCCCATCAATGGCTCCCCATCAGCTTAGAGAATAGTATTAAGCAGAATGCCATTGGATCTGCTCTGGATCCTATGTTGCTCAACATTTTTATTATGGATCTAGACCAGTATTTTTCAAACTTGGCAACTTTAAGGTGTTAAAGTAAACTTCAATTTTTGTTATTGTTTTAAATGTTTTAATATGTTTAGATGTATAGTTTTAATATGGTTTTAAATGATGTTTTAACTTTTATTTGGGAGCCACCTAGAACTGTTTAGATTAGAAGATGGGTGGCTACATACAGTAAAAGTTTTAAATAAATAAACTCCCCATACTGGCTGGAAAATTCTGGGAGTTGAAGTCCAAACATCTTTAAGTTGCCAAGTTTTTTTTAAAGAAAATGGACATAGATGAAGGGACTGAAGGGATGATTGTCAAATTTCCAGATGACATGAAACCATTTATTTTCTTCTGCTTTTACAGACAAGAATGTGGTATAGATATTTGTATTCAAGCCGGCTTTTTCAAGAGGAAGACTGAAGGAAATTAAAGGAAATTAAAGGCCTGGAGAGTAATATGAAGAAAAGTTGCAGGAATTGGGTATGGCTAGACTAGAAAAAAGAAGGACTATAGGTGACATGATAACAGTATTCCAGTATTTGAATGGCTGCCACAAAGAAGACGGGGTCAACTTATTTTCCAAAGCACCAGAAGGGAAGATAAGAAACAATAGATGGAAACTAATCAAGGAGAGAATCATTCAGAATTAAAGAGAATTTTCCTGAGTTAGAACAATTAATCGGTGAAATGACTTGCCTGCAGAAGTTGTGGGTGCTTCATCACTGGAGGTTTTTAGAGAAGAGAAGAGAATGAACAGCCATTTGTCTGAAATGGTATAGGATCTCCTGCTTGAGCAGGGGGTTAGACTCCCTTCCAGCTTTATTCTGATTAAAGTAGACGTAATGGGACATGAAGTTCTAAGTCAACCTGACAAACCAAAAATAATTAAATCCCCATATGCAGATAGCATCCATCCAAGTTTCTTAAAGAACAATTCTGATCTTTGCCCAGTAATATGCAATTCATATTTCACATCAGTATCTGTTTCAAAGAGCTAGAAAGCAGCCAAGGGCAATAGAGGAAATGAGAAATCAGTTAGAAATGGCTGTATTATTACAGGGAAAAACAGGTAAACCCTTAGAAGAATGAAGCTTGTTGAAAAGCCAGCAGTGCTTCCACAAACCACATCTTATCTTACAAATATTTTGTTGTTGATGTTATCAGAAAACACATAGACAAAGGAACTCAGTGTATATTATATAAAGCCAGGTATGCAATATACTTGGATTTTCTAAACAATTGACAAAGTATTTCACAAAAAAATTCCTGAGCAAACTCAGCTGCCATGGAAGAAGATATGTGGCCTTGGGAATTGGCAATAGCAATAGCACTTAGACTTATATACTGCTCCATAGTGCTTTACAGCACTCTCTGAGTGGTTTACAGAATCAGCATAGTGTCCCCAACAATCTGGGTCCTCATTTTATTGACCTCAGAAGGATGGAAAGCTGAGTCAACCTTGAGCCAGTCAGGATTGAACTGCTGGCTGTGGGGAGAGTTAGCGTGCAATACTGCATTTCAACCACTGCATCATCACAGCTCTTCCCTTTCTGATATTCTGAGCGTGGAATTTGTTGTCTTTGTTCTTCTGTCTTTCTCCTCCTTCCATGTATGTTTGTGTGTGAATGTATGTATTTTCACTGCTGTTTTATGAAGAAGGTGAAAGGCAGGAGAAAAAAGAAGACAAATTCCATGCTCAGAATATCAGAAAGGGAATTTAAACTAGAACTGCTGATACAGTAACTCTCTTATGAAAATATATAAAAACCAACATTTGCAGAAAATACACAGTGCTGGTGCATCTAAAAGAGGATATTAAAAAACTACAAAATATATTTAAAAAATTCAACCCAAACAATTACATATCCAGAGCAGTTCTCTTAGAAGGAAAAACTATAGCAAGTAAAGCTTTATAAACTGAAATGAAGCAATGTATAGGGAGATACCAGAGAAATATGCAATGTTTATATTTCTGAGGATAAAGAGAAGCTTCCTCCATTCCTTATAATATTATAACTTGAGATAATTCATTGAAATTAAATGCACGGTAATTCTAGGACAATAAAAGGAAATATTTTTTCCACAGTGCATAGCTGGAATTTGCTACCAGTAGCTCCCATTTAGATGGTTTTAAAAGGAGACCGGACAAATTCATAGATCAGGCTATCAGTGGCTATCAAAAATGATGGGTCTTAGTCATCTACCCAACTGTCGATAGCTTGTCTTAACATGAATTGCAATGAAGTAGCCGGAAGAAATTTTCCCACATGCATCAGTTGTCCACTGAGTGACACAGAAAACTGAACTAAATGTGCTGCCAAGAAGGCTCTTCCAATCTTATGTGCCCCCATCCACTGCATTTCAAGGTCAACCAAAAGGAAAATGACTTTAGGTCGGATTCAAATTGCTTTGACAAAAAATCGAGGCAGTAGTACGGAAACGCAGATAGTATGGAAGAGCCAGCATAGTGTCCCCAACAATCTGGGTCCTCATTTTATTGACCTCAGAAGGATGGAAAGCTGAGTCAACCTTGAGCCAGTCAGGATTAAACTGCTGGCTGTGGGGAGAGTTAGCGTGCAATACTGCATTTCAACCACTGCATCATCACAGCTCTTCCCTTTCTGATATTCTGAGCGTGGAATTTGTTGTCTTTGTTCTTCTGTCTTTCTCCTCCTTCCATGTATGTTTGTGTGTGAGCCAGAAGACTGGATCCTGGGGGCAACCTTTGGTTCTTTACAATATTACTCAATATTTAAAGAGATAAGTTGTTTCAAGAAGCTTATTGAAGGTAGGGAAGGAGGGAGAGAGGGACAATAAGGGATTTTTAAGCCCAGGTGATGGCCAAGAATCGAAAAGTAGAAACACAGAATAATTACCAGTCACTCTAATCAGACTGCATTGGACAAATAAAGTTTCCATACTCTGTCACAATTAAGGAGAATTTCAGTGCTTGTCAAGAGAAGATCGTTTCCCACTTACCTCTCATTAACTGAAAACTGTAATATAACACAGTGATCTGGGCAGTTCAAAGGCAGTAGTAGGGCAGCAGGATAAAAAAAATACAAATGAGCCCCAAACCTCCACATTAATTGCTTTATTAAACAAAATATGGGAAAAATACCCACAAGAAAATAAAGCAGCCTGTCCTCGACTTAACAACCGTTTTTTTTGTCATGGTTCGAATGGCACTGAAGAAAGGGACTTATGACCGTTTTTTGCATGACTGTTGCAGCATTGCCATGGTCAGATGATCAGAATTCATATGCTTGGCAACTGACATGTATTTATGACGGTTGCAGTGTTTCGGAGTCATGTGGTTCACTTGTTGCGACCTTCTGACAAGCAAAATCAGTGGGGAAGCCAGATTCATTTAACAGCCATGTTACTAACTTAACAGCTGCAGTGATTCACTTAACAACTGTGGCAAGAAAAGTCGTAAAAGGGGGCAAAGTTAATTTAACTGTCTTTCTTAGTAACATAAATTTTGGGCTCAATTATGTCGTAAATTGAGGATTATCTGTAATTACAGAGTTTCATGTTCAAGCCACGTAAGTAGTGGGATCTCTTTAAATAGTTGAGAAATGAAGAAGCACAAATGAAAATTGAGAAGACGGAAATTTCATCTAATCATCTGCCATTGTCTTGATTGGAAATGGTGAGGTATGAATCATGATAAGCCCAAGAAAGAAAGGTCATCTCAAAAAATAAGGAAATATGAAGGATATAGTTTTGGACTGCGGTACAATTATCTTTAGTAGTATTGGTGCATAACATTTCAGGAAATGGGCTCATTCGAAGAAACATGGCATATCGTTCCCTATGTATGTGAGAATTCCTGAACACCACACAAGGTTTTTTTGACAGAGAAGTATCTCCCTCATAAGATTGCTGAAAATCTTCCTCCTTAGACCACGTTTTCTATATGCCTATACAATTCAGGGGCTAATTAGCCATTCCATTTCTGCCTTTTTAAAAAATGGTAGGGAAGGCCATGACTATCTGAACAGTATACATTCAGGTACCCACTACCGTCGCGGCCCCCCCAAGAAAAGATGGGGGTTAGATTTTAAATTGATATTCTAAACAAGTAGCCCTCTTTTTCTGGCATATTGTGGTTATAGATGGTCCTACTCTGATGATGCTTCAGAAGATGACAAAAACAGTCCTCTTGAAGAGATTTTTAGATACATTGAATTGCAGTGTTGGGTTTAATTTTTCCACTGTTTAGTTGATTTGTTAGTTTTATGGGTGGATGTTATAATTATATGAAAGTTTTACTCTCTCTTTATGAGATGTAGGCAAACATAAATTTAATGAGGAAATGCTATTGCTAACATGCAGGACTATTCTTCTTAGAACTATTAATCCTGAGAAAGGATTTGCCATTGATTATATTAGACAGTTTGTGGGGGGAAAAATTGAAATAGGCCAGCAATAGCTACACAATAGCTATACAGCTATTGGGTTGCAAAAATCTAGATAATCACTAGATGGCAGCAAAGAAGTAAACAATCACCTGAACTTTTGCAGCTCAGATAAGACAGGGTTAAGATAGCCCCATTTAAAGTACTTGGCAATCTTCTTACCAAGACTCTAAACTCATTCTTTGTGCATATTCTGATAATGTTTGTTCCAAACAATCTTTTTAAAATATTTCAACCAGCAGAGTTGAATTGAGACATGTTCTTCACCTCCATATAATTCTCCAGAACAAATATGAATCCAGTCAATATCATTTTTTATCCCAGAAAGAGAAGTCATCGAGGATGGCAATTTGGAAAAAAGGAAAAAGGGGGAAAGGAATCATTTAACCAGACCTATACCTCAAAATCCACTTAGATGTTCTTTTAAACAATCTGGTGTAGGGATTCAGTTACAAAGTTTTACAAATATGTTAATAAATCACTGTCAGCCAAGGCTGTGTGCCTTTATATAGATCTTATTCCTGAAAAAGCTGCCAGACAGACATGAAGCAATGCCTGAATGCTTTCTCTGGATCCACACATTTGGTGGGTTAGCCAGAAAGTTTTTTTATGTCTCTTCCTGAGTGTAAAACTCTTCAATGTGCTTTTTGAGTCCTCTGGAAGGCAGAATCATATAAAGGAATCCTCTGCTAGGGAAGCTGTATGTCTTACAATTATTATTATTATCATTGATTATCACACAGTCAGCCAGATGTTCAGACTGGGGATGGCATTTTTGTCTACCTATCAAATCCTTACCAAGGACCCAGGATAGGAAAATCTGGATGTTTGACGGCTTTACACATATTGTCACAGGATGGAAACTGTTCCTTCTGCAATTGACTGATGCCGAATTTATCAATGCTTACAGTGAATACTAACACAACACAATGCTAAATTGTGTTCCAGTTGTTTTGGGATTGCACCCAAGGCACTTATTACTATTGGTACTACCCTTGCTTGCCTTTGCCACAGTTGTTCTTTGTAGGTCTTTGTATTATGTTATCTTCTCCAATTCTTTCTCTTCTACTGTCTCCAGGCACTGCCACATCCCCCAGCCAGATTTTTTTTTTGGGCTTTCTTATCAACAATTGTTAAGCCTGGGGTGTTATGTGGCAGGTGCCTGTCTCTCTGAATTCTAAAGTCCCAGAGAAATTTAACTTCTTCATTTATTATTATTGTTGTTGTTGTTGTTGTTGTTGTTGTTGTTAATATACATGTCCCAGAATAAGGCTGCAGGATCCAATCAGGGTTGGTCACCGGGACCAGAGGTTTTGTCTTACAAACTTTCAGACTTGTGTTGGAGCCCATCTTCAGAGAGAAGTTCCCTGAAGATGGGTTCCAGCACGAGTCGGAAAGCTCGTAAGACAAAACTCTGATCCTGGAAACAGACCCTGATTGGATCCTACAGTATTATTATTATAGGTGTGGAAACGTTGAAACTTTCAAGCTGATGCTACTGTCATGCAATTCCCTTCCCATTATACTAAGGTTAGGATCTTGAAGATCATCTATTCAGAGAAGAGTAGGCTTATCTAATTCATTCAAGTAGTCAGTGTTTGCCAAGGGTTCTCATCTCTGGGGTTATCCAGCAAGAAGTCCTCAAAAGCAGGAATTGTCTATGAGGCTCCTTTTCTATGGAACAACTTGTCTCTGAAGGCATAGATGGCCCTTTCCCTCACTGATATTCCAAAAACATGTTAAGACTTGCTCATGTTGAAAGGCCACTGGAAAGCGGATGGAGTAATTTATGGGCGCAGATTTTATGTTATGCCCTATCTATTTTAGAAGCGTCTATATATTACTCTGTTATTATTGAATTATTTTATTCTTATGGTGCATATTGCTGATCATTTAGAGCAGGAGTGTCAAACCTGCATTGTCACAGCAGCATCACATGATGTATCAGGACTTTTTTCTCCCTTTGCTAAACTGGGCATGGGTGTGGCCAGCGCGTGATGTATCCAGCCCATGGGCCGTGAGTTTGATAGCCCTGATTTAGAGTCATCTAAACTGAAAGAATATAAAAGGGTCCATAATGAAAACACGAGAAAGGACTTGATCAGACAAGAGGCTCATCTAATCCCGCATTCTGGCAAACCATATGCATCCGGAGAGCTCACGAGCAAGATTTGGAGAGCAAAAGCTTTCTTCCATAATTGCTACCTTTCAATTGGCAAGTTGGTTGTATTGTTTTTCATTCTGAGGCCCGTGTGCAACCACTACTAAGGCACTTTGCTGCTACTGAAAGCCAAACTAATAAGAATGGCTTGATGTACGTGCTCCTGCCAACCTCTGTTCTCTTTTTCAACCAAATTCCATTTCTTGTTACCTTTGTGCAACAAAATGAATTAGTTTAATACAGTACCAGGGAAGAGCTCTGACAGCCCATGTTTTGAAGACAATTACAAAAAGGGAAAAGGGAAATAAAAATATACCAAAGAACATTTTCTAAAGCATGTGGGTTGTTTGGTCTCCTTAGTATTCTATTCTAATTGATTTAGCTTTATAGCTATAGCATGCAGTTTGATATTTGTGCCTTAGAAGAGGACAAATACATCTAGGAATCACAGGAGGTGGGCAGAGCAGGGGAAATACCCCGATCAATGATCATTGATGGTCTCAGTCCTGCACTGCAACAGCTGCACTGCAACAACAAGGTTGTAGAGGGTTATCCCATCGTTCATCTTTCCTATATATTTTCTCATTGTATAATCCTAGGAACCGGACTGCATAGATCAGCAGAACTGCAGTAGTATGAATGAAATCTAATTGTCCTCTAATTCATGAACTGAAATTATAGTGGAAGTAATATTCTGCTGAAAAATTTTTGTACTGTTGAGATAGCTAAGACATGTATTTGTGTTTGGATAATGAGAATTGGGTCAAATGTTTCCTTCAGTAATGAACTGATTTGAACTCTGAGTTATTAACTCAAAAGGATTAGAAACAATTCCACACTACTTCTGCCAAAATCTTATATTGTACCTTTAGTGTCTTCATCTTCAATGGTGGTATTTGTACTCTCTGAAGATTCCTGGACCAGAAAAGAAAAAAAAAACAAAAGCAAAATATTGGAGCAAAGTAAAACTATTTCAACTTTGTTTTAGAACTGTTTGTTAACCTTTCATTAAGGTTTTACCCAAACAGCATCAAACACTGAAAAGAAACAAAAACCAGATAAGTATCAGTACAGGTCAATAATTGCAGCTCTTCCTTTGTATCTGTAACATTTTCCCTGACTTCTATCCAAAACTTACAAAACTAAGCAGGACATCCGACTGAATTATGATGTAAGAACTTAATCGCCTTCCTTGCAATTGTCTACCATCATAAAGAAGACCAATCAGTATAGCAGGAATGAAGGTCCCGAAATCTCCTATCGTTAGGAGGAATAAGAGGGCTGTGTAGAAGTGAAAGACGGTATGTACAAATTAACAGGAGGGAACTAGGATGAGGGAGAGAGGGAGACTGTGCAGGAGTGAAAGAGGCCACACTGAGTGCATAGTAAAGAAAGAAATGTACAGTAAAACAAAGAGGGTTTCTAAGACCCACACAGACCATCAAAGCCTGACACACACTTTCTTCCATAAACAGCCAAGTGGTACACAAATTAACATGGAGAAAGGGGAGCTATTTACTCTCCAGCATTATCAACGAGACAGCTCTGGTAGCTATACTAGGATTACTCATTCATCCCACCAGAGACTTTTTTTTTTCATATCTCGGTCTCAGACAACAAATTGACCAAGCTTCATCAGCTGTCTGATTGCTTGTGACTGCACAGTTCCAGCAGAGCCATATTAGATAGTCTTTTCCTTCATGTCTCCTTGGATGGAGGTAGTCTGCACATCTGCTAAATGATAAGCACCATTGAAAACCTTTCCCTAGAAATTCAAATTAGGTTCTCAGTGCTCTTCGGTGGGCTTCAGCTTCTTTTTGTGCCATCCATTCCTGTTTAACGGGATTTGTAGGGGAGATGCTGCACCGAAGAGGTTCAACCTTCAACCCAACCCTCTATGCTTTCTAAGAACAGGAATGGTTGGAAGACGTTGAGAGGCCCAACATTATCAGCATTGAGGAAGACAAAGGACACTCACCATTAACTGAACGCTGGAACTGGACTTTCTTTTCTGGAAAAACAAGGAGAAGAGATGGGACAAGAAGAGACACAGAGTGAGAAAGAAAGAAGTGAGCAGAACATGGGATGCCAAGGAACCTGGGACACTTGTGGTGATCCCTCTAAGAAGATAGGTTTTCTTGTGGGTAAGCCTGATGCTTAAATGAAGAGTTCCATGTCTTCAATAAAGACAGAACAACCATTGTACACAGCATGCTAGCCTAAAATTTCCCGCACAAGGAGCAATTCAATCAACATGGTCCAATTCGCACCCTGAGTGCTACTCATCTTTGCTGCCTATGAATCTTACCCTAACGCATCCTTGACATCTAATTCTCAATTTAGTTCATTTCTTATCCAAGCCAAAGCAAATATTTCCAAGTGGAAATTTTCCAAGCTGAATACACGTTAGATAGCAGACTAAAACTTGCCAAGAGGAAAGATTGTAATCCTGCTAGTAGAATAGGCAAAAATTGTTCATTTAGAATAAGAAGATTCTAGAAGGAATTCAAATAACCCTCTAACTCAACTTAGTGAGGCGGGCATGTTACAACACCAATATCTGAACCTTTCTTAAATAATTGCTGAAGTGCTGAAAGCCTCTTACTTTACTAACTTAAAACTACACTTGATGCAACTGAAATTCATTGCTTCACAAAATGATTAATGGGTGTACTCTTCTAAAAACACATTTACAGAGTATTTTGCATGGATACGTGAAGCATATCTGATCCCACACAGTCACTTTTCAAGATGCCCACATTATGCATTTGCATTGACTACCAGGTAGCAAAACAGTAGGTTTGACGTAGGCCGTAGTGACAGTGGAGTACGGGATACAATTTTGCCTGGAGACAAATTCTCCCAAGAGGAAAACCTGGAAACTGGACTTTAATGATGACAAAGTACTTTCATTCCCACTAAAAAGAAGAGGATTGCTAAGCTTTTTATTTGGAAACAAAAATAATAAATAGATGCTATTCATATCATGTCTGCTTCTTTCCTAGATTTCTGCAAAGTGCAATAATCATTAACCTTATGTAGGAATGTGTTAACACATGTTAGTCATCCTCATTTAAAAAAAAAATTCTAAAACTGTAGATTTTTTCTATATGGTTAATGCTTAACTGCAAAAAGTACACACTCTAATTACAATCTAAGGAGCAGAGATTATATTTCATATATTTCGTATAACCTCAGAATGGCATAAAAAATCACCCATATGCTAAATGGTGAAAATCAGCCTCTCGTTAACTGCAGACATGGACTCATGTTGCACCATAAATTAGCACTTTGCATATTAAGAGCAGAAATCCTAGAAATAACACAAGAAATATAATTTAAAACTTTGCCTTTAATTCATGATGAAATTACTTCACACTGCACACTGGAAGGGAATCAACCTGCTATATTTCAGAAGTTCAATGAACACTCAGAAATGTTTTGAAGTTCCCTCTTACTTATCATCATTACTATCCAGTTTGGGGTTTTGTACTCTGCTTTGCTTTGGCAGCAATCCCAGCAATTCTTGTGAGCAAGGACAAGGTAGAAAGTATTGCCCTTCCAAAAGGATGTAGCATCTCAGCATTTCAGATAGTGGGTTCAGCTGAGCACTTCAGGTGTTTCACACGGCTCTTAGAAACTGGTTTCAAATGTGAGTATTGCAAATTAAATTATGATATGCTTCAAATCATATGGGTAGAGATAGCAATTTCTGCCTATTGGCATCTGGGATCCTCATTCTCTTCTATCATCTATGTATAGCATATCTTTTTTTTAAACGATTGCTTCACAACTTTCCTCTGAAAATTAAAAAGAAAGAAAAAGGAGTACAGATCTTACTATCTACAGTGGATCTAGCTAGGCTATGATCTATGGTAATTCCATTGAAAACCTAGTAAAAGATACAGTAGGAAATCTTACTGGACAATAATTATAAAGGTAATCAGACATAACACGATGCAACACAAAAGCAGTGGCCTCATTTAAGTAGGACAAACATACAGTAAAAGAACACAGTACAGGGAAGTGAACTTAGTCATTTAGAACATAGGATGTGACATGGTGGAGTGCAGTGATTGCATTAATTCAGTGTGTGGAGATGTGATTCTGAATGGGACAGTGAATGTTATTGTGTAGCCGCTGATTAAAAAGAAGTTGTTTTTTTTTAATGAGCTGTTGTTATATCCAAACAAGAATATCTATCTTTCTAAAATGGACTATTCATGGAAAGAATCCTACTTAAAGTTTAAAACATTTCCTTTTTGGGAGCAGTTTATCAAACCATGGATTTTATTAGAAAAATACAGAAATCTTGTGGCCATGAATCTGACATTTGTGCCTTGAAACAAAACGAGTAAAAACTCCTCCGCTGCACACAGAAATAAGAGGGGGGAAAGTACAAGAATATATCAGTAAGCTGGTTTAACTATTGTAAAGGAAGAAATTGATTCTTTGGGTTAGTTTCTGAGAGGAATTAACAGTGAGAGCACCAGGAAAGGCTGTTAGTACTAGGAACAGCCAGCTGCCTCAGCATAAAAATATATATCTTGGCCTGACACTCCTGTAGTCAGAATCTCCAAGGCATATATATGGTCATTCTCTGACACTGCATTCCTTTCCACACCCTCAAACCACCATCAAGTCACCATCTGAACTGTGAAAGGGTTGCCAGATACCTTTCCAGAAAATTCCAGTTTGGTTTCCAGAAAATAGAACAGTTATAATGTCAGTGCACAGCTACATTACACTCTTTTCCAACTCAAATACTTTGGGGCTGAGCAATGGAAGTAGTATTACTGCTAAAAAGAGAAAAGTTGTTCATGCTTGATCCACTTCTCAGTAAAGTCATGAACCAGCTTTCAAAGTGTCAATGGCCTTACAAAAGCCAAAGACTTAGAAGCATTGTTCCTGGATTTACTACCTTCTCCTTAGACCCAAGGGTGACAACAACCTCTGAATTCTTTAATCTATCTCAGGTTTCCAAAATTCCTTTATCATATTAATGTAGTAGAGTGTAATTTTCTTAAAAAATAACAACAAACTATTCAGGTAAAAAAAAAAGAGAGAGAGAGAGAGATAACAGCTGGGATTCTTACCACTGCTCAAAACCTAAGCGAGGAGCAAAATACTGTATCTAACAGATCTTGCTAAATCAAATCACCATGCACTTTCTCCACTGGCCATCTTGGCTGGGACCACTGGGAATTGTGGTATTTTTAATCCCAATTTTAAACTAACTTCCTATTTCTCTTTTTAGGCTCTCCTGTGACAGCCCTTACATGGCAGTAGAAATGCCAGAGGCAGTATAGAATACAGCTGTCATATTGATCTGGGATATTTGCAAAGTGGTAAGGGCTCCTCCTTCAAAATCTTCCTTTGCTTAGAAAGATAATTCATTAGGAACTAATATTTAAGGGGATCAAGAGGAATTCACACTTGGGTACATTGTGAGATTATACAGAGCCACATAAATATTCTGGGATATTAAATACCGTAGGGGGAATTGTGAATTACAGTTCTACAAGAAGGCGGTATCACTATAACTTCTGAAAACTTAAATCAGTTCTGAGCCTAGATTATTTCTAAGTAATCACATAATTATCTGATAATATTGAAATGTAGAAGATTAGAAGATAAGCACAAAGTTTTCTCCAATTTATAAAAGTAAGTAAGAATGGAAAGAGAATTGTTAGAATATATTTCTCAGCCTCGATGAGCAGGTCAAAATGTTGCTTAGTTCTCTATTATTGTCTTTTCACAATTCTGCTCTCTAATTCTTTTTTTTTTTACATTTATTTTGGTATGGATTAAGTAAGCAATGAGGATAAACTGAGGCAACCGTTACTATATTTAAGCTTTACAAGATATAAACTTTTTTCTCCTTCAGTTGTATTTTCTGTAGAAAAGGCAAGAATGGGAAAAATGTGTCTAAAAATTGAGAAACACATGAAACAGAAGATCTTGGGCCACGCTGGGACCCACTACTAGAAAAGACATCCAAGTGTATTTTTCATCTTGCAGGATCCAGAAATGAAGAGGACTTACCTTCACACCATCATTCTTCTTGTTGCCACCACTTTTCCCTCCTGTGGAGAAAAGGTACCAGGTCAAGAGGCATAAGCATGATACCAGAGTTAGAAGTGTGAGAATCAGCAACATGAGGAGAACTGTCTAAGAGCAGGAGACAAGGGAACTGAAAACCACACAATCAGTGCTGCAGCATTCTCTGATAATAATCCAGCAGTCGGAAGGAAGTCTCTCAGAAACCCACAAAGCTTGCAAACTGGATTACTATGATCCTTCCAATTGAACAAAACAAACCCCAGCCACTTATAGTCATGTATTCCCAAGTTTTTGAAGAAGTCAAAGCAGAGCCCAGCAATGTTGGCGAACCGAAGGAGCATTCTCTGTGAAGTTCATTTATTCCTTCTTGAAAGGACTAGAGATCTTCCCACCATGTGGCCATAACGATTTAGTGTTCTCTTCGAAACCACTCCACTTTCTAAGTTTGCTGGTCTCACTTTTTTCTTAGATCGGTTCAGGAATGGTTCAACACAACTGTAGATAAGTGTTCTCTTGCCTGCCTGCTTTTCTCACTCTCAGGCTTTCCTGCTAATTTTAGTCCCCCATGCTGGTGGAGATCACGTGCTGCAATTATGACATCCTGACAGCTGCAGCCCACATTTTGACAATGATAAAAAACAGGCCCCTTCTTTTCTACCCTGTTTCTATTGCCATTGCAGACCTAGATTACTATATTTGGTTCACACTGGATAGAAAGTTCATACTGGTGGGGTTTTGTTTTTTTTTAGTCTTTGTGATAAACTTGTATCATTTCCAGTATTCTCAGCCAATTAACCTTTCCACAGCTCCAGGTTTTGTTTTTTTAAAACTTGTTTCCTTAGATTGTTAAGATCTAAATCCTGTCTTATTTCCCAAGTTGTTGTGATGCTTTTCTCGTGATCTTTTTAAATGCTCTTATTCCATGAAATACATGTCTATTGCACAATCTTCTAAGTGTATTATATTTTTCTACAACTTGGGATTTTAAAAAATTCTGCAATGCATTTTCCACTTGCTGAAATTCTTAACTGCTCGGGTTTAACAAATTACATATTGTCACATGTAAATACCACCTATGTATACTTTATTACATGAGCTTATATGCAAAAGCAACAGCCAATTATGGTTTTGCATCTAACAGTTCCGACAGTGACACATATACTGTATATGAGACTGTACATATTGTAATTTCCTAAACAGAAATCTGTTTGTTGTGGGGGGGAACCCTGAAATAGCCTTAATGTCATAATGTCTGTTCATAACAATTGTTCCTTCCAAAAAGGGTATCTGTCCCAATCAATCAAGTTCTAAAAATGTAAGGGAGACTTGTTAGAGCAGAGCAAATGTTTCTCTGGTTCAGCATTTTTTTTACAATATGTTTCTTACAATAATTGAGATGACTCTGGGGAATCCAGAAGACTTAAGGATGGTAAATTGTTCAGGGGCTCTAAACCAGGGGTCAGCAACCTGCGGCTCCAGAGCCGCATGTGGCTCTTTCACCCCTCTGCTGCGGCTCCCTATCACTCAAAATATGCGTCACAACCGCCAAAATGTGACACCCTCCAGCTGATTTATTGAGCTTTTTAACCCCCTGGTAGGCCAACCATGGAGAAAAGAAAAGAAAAGAAAAGAAAAGTTTCAGAAGAAAACAGAATGTTTAATTCAACTACATATGCCAGTTTTGTGGCTGCTCAAGAAATAGTTGGCACGGGAAGGGTTTTGTGGCTCCCGGTGTCTTCTTTTCTGTGGGAAATGGGTCCAAATGGCTCTTTGAGTGTTTAAGGTTGCAGACCCCTGCTCTAAACCTATACTCTGGGTATAGCATAAGTATAATCCTCCATACATTTTTCTATTTCTCTTTTAAAGTCATCATTTTATTACTTTCCAAATACAATATTGATCAAAAGATCCCACTTATTTCTTGTGGATCCATTTTTCTTCATGTGAAATTTCAGCAAATAGAAGCTGTTTTTAGAAGATTCCCCGTAAATTCAAGATTCTTTTGGAAAATTCCATAAAACTGCCTTATTTTCCTGAATGATGATTTTTAAAACTTATTTCTAGTTTATATCATTATGAAAAAGTAAAAAGTTGAGGGTAGATGTTAATGCCTTATTTTACTGCACCAAAGGAGTTGGAAGTCAATGCCTTTTTTCCCCCTTGCTCACTATCCACTTCCCTTTTTCCTTCCCTAATTTCCCTAATATTTACTTTTGTATTCTCTTTATATGTCATATTACAAATTAATAAAAAAATTATAATAGATTACTTCTATGCAATTCTTATGCTGGAAGGAAATATTTTTATCCTAATACATGTATTCTAGAATGATATTATTATTATTATTATTATTATTATTATTATTATTATTATTATTATATTATTATTATTTAATCTTTAGTGAGATTCACAGCCTTTGAGGCTGGTTAATAGCTCAGCAGCTCGAGTCCTAACCAAGGACCTAGGAACCGTTAAGGTATCGTCAGAGGATGTAAGCTGTTCCGAGTAAGGTGGTTTTTTGTAGAGTCAAAATGTTCAAGTCCGGCAAATTTAGAATTTCTAAATAGCGGGTAGTCCTTTGGGTATTGCTCCAAGGGCTCCTTTTATATTATTATTATTTATTATATAAATAATATATAAAATATTATTATTATTATTATTATTATTATTATTATTATTATTATTTGTTAATCTTTAGTGAGATTCACAGCCTTTGAGGCTGGTTAATAGCTCAGCAGCTCGAGTCCTAACCAAGACCTAGGAACTGTTAAGGTATCGCCAGAGGATGTAAGCTGTTCTGAGTAAGGTGGTTTTTTGTAGAGTCAAAATGTTCAAGTCCGGCAAATTTAGAATTTCTAAATAGCGGGATAGCCATTATTATTATTATTATTATTATTATTATTATTATTACTACTACTACTACTACTACTACTACTACTACTACTACTACTACTACTCCTTAAAGAGCTTCATCTCACAGGATGGTGTATTCTGGGGCAAACCCCCTTTGATTAGTAGCCATGCTACCCAACATTTCTCACAGAATAGTGTAAAACGAACTTTCTATTATCTAACCTTCTATTAATAAATAATTGTGATGGTTTGAATGCCCTGTTGTTAGGGATAGGAACTTGATTGATTTGTTTATCACAGCCTTTCTATCAATGTGCAAAAAAAGTATTTTTGCATTTTATCGTCACTTAATAATCCAGAGAAAATAGTCAATAACTATTTATTAATATGACATGCTAGAAGAAAGATGCTAGTGCCTGAATTAATCTCCCTGGTGTCTATCTGTATGAGTCAGTATGCAAACCAGACTTAGGTTACATCCACACATCTATGTTCCTTCTTATCCTGGGTCCTTTCTTAAGTCTTGCTATCTCCACAGCATGTCGCATAAGGTTTCTGCCATTGCCCCTACAGCACACATTTCTGTAGTAAAAGCTGTAATTTTGGTTTCCTTGATTGCATCCCAGTCCTACCCAACACTAACCTGCATTTGAAAATTGGCACAGGCAATACTCTGGTTAAGCCATGACCAAGCATTTCCATTGCCTCATTGATCCATTGGACTTATTTTTTAATTCTTTAAAGTTATGGATCAATCAGTCAATTTATCAAGCACTAGATGACAGAAAAAGTCATTCTGTCTAGTTTTTTTTTTTAAAATGGCTCCCCTCCATCAGTCATCTAGATTTGCACTGTTGCTGGATCAGTGCTGGAGAAGAACTAGATTTTGAGCAAGGGGGTAAGCTGTGGGGATTGGTGTGGGAGCTATAAACTACCCTAAGATTACAAGAGAAGAGGATGTATGGAGCCAAGGCTCCTGATACTGGTAATTAGGAAGGGCTTCCCCTGCCAGGCTATCCAGATTACAGAATATTAAAGACAAATATTTTCAATTACATTTCCAGTTACTTGCTTTAAAGGAGGATCGTTTTCAGGACCAGGACCAGGTCTCTAAGTCAACCAATGGATAGATGATTGACCCATTTAAAAAAGAAACAAACAAGCTGGATTTCAATCTCCCTCATAGCCTGAGGGTAGAAGATCAGTCAGGAATTGGGATGGATGGTGATTTTTCCACAGGAAGGTCACAGAACCAGTTGGAGCCAGTGGTTTTCTAATGCTACATTTCTTTGTCTATGGAGATTCTGATTCATCCAGGTCATCATTGTCCCAAAGGTGCTTTTCAGAAGGCAACTGGACTTCCTCAGGTATTTTGTTTTGGGTTTTTTTAAGGTTTTTTTTCTTTGGAAACATTTCATTTCTCATCCAAGAAGCTTCTTCAGAACTGCCTTTTGAAAAACTCCATTTATTTCTGGTAAGATCTGACAGGGTCAGAATGTTCTAGATTCTATTGCTCAGCCAATGTCACTTGATGGGACCCAGGGTATAATCTTTCTGTCATCCTTTGGACCAGCATTCCTCCCAAGATTCAGTTGATCCAGTTCTATCTTGCCTTTGAAAGGCAGTAACCTTAATTCTTTCCCCAGCCACTGAGTCACAGAATAACATGATCCCACAGGATGAATCTTTCCAAGCATCTTATGGTCTTATGTTTTTATGTTTTATGTTTATTATTTGTTTCTGTCTTATTATATATGTGTATATATTTATTGCTGTTTATTGATGATGTATGCTGCTCTGAGTCATGTGCTAAGTGGATGGCTATATAAATCAAATAATCAGAATGGAAGAAGTCATTTTAGGTCACCTCTTCTATGGCATCAACGTACCCAACTCATGGAGATGGGATAAGAGGGAAGACATTACTTTCAGAATGAAACACTTAAAGCTATCCCTTATCTGCCTCAGTTGTGGTTGGATGATAGAGGCAATGATATGTAGATATGTCCTTTGGAAATGATTAGTTGATGTTCCTCAAGCTATGTTGATGAGCTGTTAATCCAAGGGAGTTTACATTTATCACACTCTGTGAATTGGGGCCTGAGCTATAATTAATTACAGTGGCTTTTCAGCTTTAAGTGAAGAAAAGGGTATGGGGGTGGGTTACTGAAGGAAAAATTATTTGTATTGTTTAGGAATACTATACTGCATAAAAGAATCTTTCTTTTACAAAATTATAAGGAATTAATCTTAAGTAGCCAACATCTTCAGTACTACCTCCTGCAGAGCTACAGAATGTGCAGATTGTATTAAATGTCCTCATGGATTCTTCTGCCAAAGAAACTCTTTCTTACTTCCACATTCAAATGGGAACTTTTAGGGGTATTTTTAAAATACAGTAAGGGAAATAGGTGATCAGATCATTTGCTAGATTGGTGGTACATTTAAGTCACAGTCCAAGAATATACATACTGTAACGTAAGATCTTCTGACCTTTCTCCTCAGGTCACCACTATCAGGTGTGGGTTACAACATAAATTTATTTTTTTTTCCTCTCTCTTTCTTGTATGAACATTTCATCAAACATAAAAAAAAAAAAGTCATTTCGGAATCACATAAAAATGTCCAAACCTGCTTGTGGAAGTCTTAGTGCAGCAACCAGCCATAGTTTCTAACCAAAGTTAGTAGCCAATAAGTGACGAGGTAGCAAGTAAATAGAGTTGGGTTACCTACCAGAAAAATTACGGGTTGCTAGCATTGTAGTGAGGATTGCTCCCTGGAACACACAAAAGACAAAAAGGAAAAAAGGGGAAACAGGACACAATGTTGGATTTAGAATCAGGGCTATCCCTCCTCCCCCCTCCCGCCCACTCTAATATCTTCTTTTTCTTAAAAACATCCCATGGAAAATGGAGCTGGCTGAGCTACAAGGGGAATGTACCTTTGGCCCTGTTTCAGGGCAGGATGAATATAGTTCAGGGGAGATATTAATAGAAACAGCAAACAGTTTGCAGAAATCAAGTCACTGGATATTAGCTCAGGGATTTTTAACTGCAAGTTTCGAAATGGTGGACACAAAGTTTATTATAGCCATCTTATATAGAGATTAAAAAGCTTTCCTTCCAATGTTAATGAAACTCCATTCTCCAGTAAACAAGTAACACTTGAACTCTGATGGGATCAGAGTAACTGATAAATGTCTTGCTGTATTAAAGAGGATTTCCTACAGTATCCCAAGTGTAATCTCAAATATGCCATCTATCTTTGAGACATTCAACAGATTAAAAATCTTCGGATGCATCAGTCATTTGTCTCAGGTCATAGAACAGAAGAAATTATCCTAACGAACAACCAATCCCTCACCCTTCCATATTCAGTGTTGTGGTAAAACGCACGATTGCACTATAATGCCCCAAACTCATTCCACTTTCAGCATTAAAAACAAAAGCATTTGGGCATGCTGACAAAGATACATCTGTAGCATATATTTCTCCTCCATTTCAATTTAGCAGCTCTAAATAAAAGCTACCACAATTACCACTAGTATATTATTACGACACAGAGCCCTCAAGAATATTGTCCCATAGATCAGTCTCATCACATCCATTTGATAGGGGGGAAAGACTTCAATGCATTACCGAAGTAACATAGCCATTCTCTGTGAGTCAATAAAATAATTTATTATAGGTGCCTGATTTGCCATAGCCCAGCATTTTATTTTAAAGTCACATACTTCCTGTTTAGCTTTTACAGAAAAAAAGCAAGATATATTTGCACTGAATAAAAGCTGAATTAGCATAAGAATGCAATATTTACACCTCTGTTATTCTAGCTATGGATAGATTTGAAATTGTCCATCAAAATATAATTTTGGGGCATAGGATAAAAAGGTCAAATGGAGCTGTGTCTTTACTGCTTACTGACTGTCTTCCCTTCTCCTCTGCATTTCTTTTCATTTTGTATTACTGTATTTTCATTGTTTATTTTATTGTTTTACTATTTTATTACTGTTTACACTTCCTGTCATTCCTGTGTTTTTACTGTCATAAGCCTCTTAGAGTAGCCCAGCAGCAAGATAGGCAGCAATTGAATAATAATAATAATAATAATAATAATAATAATAATAATAATAGGTACTTGGTTGATACCTAGGAGGCTGGCAGCAACCCATATCAACCATTAGCACCAGTCAATGGTATTTGTAATGCATTTTTGAATGTTCAGTTGACTAAGTTTCATGTTTAATGAATAAAGTAAATAATAATAATAATAATAATCCAGTGACATACCTCTAATACCATAAAACCTCAACATCTGCCTGTCTCAAGTCCTTGGGAAGGACTCAATAGGTGTATAAAAATGCCAAATGCAGTCTGAATATCTGGCTGACTATGTGACAATCCACAGTTTCTCAATATTTCAATCAAGTGTATGAGCTAGTGAGAAATTACATTAGCAGAATCAACAGATTTCGGTATAAAAAGCCAACACAGATCGCTATCTATAACTTAGCCAGTAATTTTGTTAGTGTCCAGCCCAAAGGCAAGAAATCTGCAAGAGTTCATAGAATGTATGTGTAGAAATAATCCAAGAAAACATTGAATCTAGAAACTGATAATGATATTACTGCTAAGTCTCCTAACTGAACCTTTTCCTACCCACAGCAGCATCCAGCTGAGTGAAAAGTAGTCTAAAAATGGCAAAGGCAGACCTTTGAAGAATGCAATTTATCTTGAATTCCATTGAATATCAGTTTTCAGAAATCTCCCAAGAAGTGATAATATTTACTTTTAAGATTTTAGTTAAAAGTTTCAGGTTAATAGGGTTATTTCCTGACTAGTGATCTAAAGTAGTTTAATAACATCACCCAGTCACTGTTCATGTAATATAAAGTCTGCCCTCCTTATTTTAGCAAAATAATGGCCTGGAAAACTTTTAAATCTCTATAAAATGTTCACCCAGTGGGGAAATGACCAAATGTTAGCTTTTCAAATTCAGATGAACAAGATCACGTGGGTAAGAACTTTTGAAAGAACCACAGTGAAACTCATAATTATTTTTCTGTCTCAACTAATGGCCCTGGCATTAATACTGTCCGGAACAGATCTAGCTCATGTATAGAAACTAATTTAGTTATACAAATAGAAATATAGTCCCGTCTAAAACCCTTCTTTTGTCTGTCTTTTCCTCTTTGGTGATTGTATATGTGTGTGTAAAGAATATGATGAGTGATGAGAAAATATAAAAAATTACCCATTACAGGTGATGTCATCTGGATCTGTAGAATATAAATAAATAGAGACCCGCAAGAAGCCTAATCTGGAGCCAGGTCTTGAAAGATGTAGAACATGAACACGGGGAACAAATGAACATGGAAACTTCCAATTAAGTAAGCAGGGAAGCACCATGTCCCATAATTACCTTTAACTTTCTTCTGGCATTGAATTTCTTCAAGCAGTCAACAGTCTCCTGTCTGTGCATGCAAGAAGCCACAGTGGAACGGTGCTAAAAGATATAAAGAAAGCATGCTTAGAAATGGAAATGGATACATAACCCTTCTTTATTTTAGAAACCTGAACTTGTATTAGAAGCTGTGCTTCTTTGTGTGATTGTAAATATGATCTATGAAACAGGATTGCCTTTTGTTCTTCAGTTCCACACTGTTGTTGTAACTGAAAGACATTACAAGCTGGCTTTTCTGCAGAGACTGAAATATATTGGTGATATGAAGAAGACAGTGATTAAAGGACTTGGTTTGTGGGGGCAATAAGCTGACTTTATATAAATTAAAACACCACTGGGGGCAGGGGGAAGCCCAACTAAGCAGGTATATACAAAAGTATGAAGGCTATTGCTTAAAGCATTGTAAACTGCCCTGAGTCTCCGGAGAAGGGCGGCATATAAATTGAACTAATAAATAAATAAATAAATAAATAGATAAATAAATAAATAAATAAATACATACATACATACATACATACATACATACATACATACACCCTCCCCTGCCTCTACTAAGACAACCTGTTGCAGAATGCTGCTCCCCATTAATGTTGCAAAAAGATTCAACATTTAGCCCAACTAGATATTTTTTTTAAAAGGAGTAATGGAATATCATCTTGACTGATCTCATGTGCTTTTAAAATTTTTCTCCATAGTTTTGGATATTCTCTGCCAGGCAGGTATAATTTTTCCTCCCAACAATAACCTGTTGTTGTGGTCAAGAGCCATACTTAAAAAATAGTGTGGGAAGTTCAGGATAAAGAGGTAGATGGGGTTAGGACAAAAATGGAGTTTTTTTTAAGAAATTAATTTTAAATTGAATTAAAATCAGCATGATCATTACTTCTTCCTTTTTGCAAACTTAAGTTCTACAATGTTTATTTATTCAATGTGTACCCTGTGTCAACTCCCAAAGACTCAGGGCAGTTCAGAGAGCAACTTTCTCAGGAATTCAAAAGGAAACTTGAAAGGTTTTGGAGGGCTTGAATGAAAGGATTTAGAAGGCCCTGGGTTTTGATGTTGCAGAGCCCCACCTTCCACTTTAAAATGGGAGAGCACTGTCACCTGGAGATTATTATCAAAATCCAAGCAGCTACTAAGAAAACTATGATTCACTTTGCACTTACCGATATCCATGGATGCTTCAGAGCTTCTGCTGCTGTGATACGTTTGGATGGGTTGATTGTTAACATTTTATTGATGAGGTCTTTTGCTTCAGGAGTAACGGTATCCCACTCAGGAGAAGGAAACTGTAAGTACAAGAAGATAAAACCCCTCATTCTCTCTTCTGCAGGAAAGAATTAAGACACAATATATATCTCTGAGACAGTAATTGTATCAAAAGCCCAAAATGATTCGTAGTCCAAGTATTAAGTACATATTCTGTATACACACATTGTCAAAGGGGGAAAAAAAGCCTAGATGTATGTATTTTTATCTTAATTAGCTTTGCGTTTTTGTTGTTCTTTATTTTTTGTCATTATTTTAAAAGCAATAAAAACGAATTAGAAATTCATGTCATGTATGAGTTTTCACTTGGTATGTTGCTGACTAGGGGGAAATTAGTACAACAGTTAAATGCAGTACAAAAATATTTATTTATTTATATTTCATATTTCTTAACTGCCCATCTCCATTTTGCCCATTCACCAATTTCAAGATGAGTTGAAAGGGTCTTTTAAAAAACAAATAAAGGTATTAGGTTGGTCCACATTGCAGAGAATGCATTCCAAGGGGCTGAGGTTCAATCATGCATTATTATTTCAGAAGGGGCCATAGGAATTACAGGCAAACATTTTTACAAGTTCTCAGGAAGTGTGGAAGTTCAATCAGAAAACTATAAAGCTTTGAGGTTAGCCTATGTCTGTGTTAGTGTGCGACGTGCATGCACGCTTTCGAGTCAGTTTTTTTACTCCTGGTGACTCCCTGGATAAGTTTGTGCAGTATGTTCCAAACTAGACAGAAATAACAGATCCATACAGAGGGTGTTACTCTATTTAAATCTGGTGGTTATTAACTTGGCCACTGTTACTCTAAAGTCACTATCTTCAGAAAGACAAATATGGTTGGTATATTTCCTGGAGCTCATCAAAGGCATATTTGGCCTTGCTTTAATCTTGAAAAACAGAGAGTGATTCAGGTCTAGAATAGGGACCTCATGTTGAGCTCTTCTCTCTGGTCTGGGCCCAGTTTCAAAAAATTATAACCCTCACCTAGCCCATTACTAACTGCAAGAAGGCATTCAGGAGGGCCATTGCATTTCCTAAAGACATCAAGGAGAAAGAGTACCATCAACATACCAAAGCATCCAGCTTCAACTCTCTTGTTTATTTCCCTCCAGCTACTTCTTCTAGATGTTGAAAAGCATAAGATACTGTACATAATGGAGTTCTGGAGGATACCATATCACAGCTTCTATTTTGAGGATGCAGCATTATCTGAAATCTATCTGAGAGAGCTAGCAATAGGTCCACTGCAAAGTTGTGCTTCCTATTCATAAATTTCTCAGATGATCTAGAAGATATCAAGACCCACTGAGATGTCAATGAGAACTGATGGAGTCATGCTCCATCTATCGATCCCTAGATAAAAAATCATCATCAGGCAGACCAAAATTACCTGAAGCCCATCATCAAAGCAGTTTGAAATGGGATAAGATAATTTATGGAGATTCTCAATCATCCAGGTCATGGTTGTCCAAAAGGATTTTTTTTATAAGCAACTGGACTTTCTTATTATTTTTCCATTAAAAATGTGTCAATTCTCATCCAAGAAGCTTCTTCAGTTCTGATTGAATTGTGGGGAATGGAAAGATTTATATTCTTTGCAGTCATCTGGTTGTTAGCACTCTGAGGTCAGTTGTTACTCTCTGAGGGTCATTGAGGCCACTTGGGGGTTTATCTGTACTCTCAGGGTGACCTGAATCAGAGTGCAAATGGGTGTGGAACTTTCTTGAGATGCTGAAAGGATTGTGTGGGTAGATAGGTGGTGTTGTATCCCTTCCCCTCTGTTGAAAGAGGACTGTACAATTTTAATATGGATGGCCACTCTTCAAAAGGTCATTATTTTGAAGACAGCAAAGTCCACATTCTGGACAGAGATACCACTAGTTTGAAAGAGGGGTCAAAGAGGTCATTTTACCAACCTAAACTCCCCCCTAAAAAGAAAGAAAACTCCCCACAGAGTCAACAGATTTGTTTGATACAGAGCTGCAATAGGAAGGAAAAATCGCCCCATCTCACGCAGAGAGATCATGTTCCAGCAGATGCTCCATTGTTCATAAACTCTCCTTGTTGCTATTCCTTCTTTACTATAATCTCATGCATCCCCTTTTATAGATACAATAAAAACAGTCACTTTTATTTTTCTGTTGTTTTGTAATTGTTTTATCCTGTTTTCCCCAAAATAAGACATCCCCTGATAATAAGCCCAATCGGGCTTTTGAGTGCATGGCAACAAGGTCATGCACTTATTTCAGGGTTAAAAAATATATATAAGACAGGGTCTTATTTTTGGGGAAACACAGTACTCATATTAAGATAAAGGTAAAAGTTCCCCTCACACATATGTGCTAGTCATTCCCGACTCTAGGGGGCGATATTAATCTCCGTTTCAAAGCTGAAGAGACAGCGCTGTCCGAAGACGTCTCCATGGTCATGTGGCCACCAAAGGCGCACGGAATGCTGTTACCTTCCCACCAAAGGTGGTCCCTATTTTTCTACTTGCATTTTTATGTGCTTTCAAACTGCTAGGTTGGCAGAAGCTGGAACAAGTAACGGGAGCTCACCCTGGCACTAGGGATTCGAACCGCTGAACTGCCGACTTTTCGATTGACAAGCTCAACATCTTAGCCACTGAGCCACTGCATCCCTTAATTTACTCATATTGTAGACCTTTAAATAGGCATTTGTTCTACATAAGCTGCTGAGAGACTTTCCTGATGAAGGTGGCATAGAAATATGTTAAATAAATATAGAAGGCCCAGCTTTCTTCATGATAAACTCACAATATAAAATAGTCTGAGAGGAACATTAATCTGGAATAGGAGTCTATGATTTCCCAATCTTGTTGAATTACAGTGTTCAGTATCTCTCTACATTGTTCATGTTTGCTAGAACTGAATGAAACTGGTGTTGAACAGCAGTTCAGAATCATGGTTTATCAGTCCCAATTACTCAAATGTGGATGTCAACATACTCTTACCCCTAGTCCAACGTATTAATTGCAACATTAGATTGATATTTAGATTGGTTTCCAATATGGCAGTGCATCAATAAAGCAAGTGAGGAAAAGTTATTTTTAAAAAATTAAGGTGGGAGAGAGAAGAAGAATATGAAAGGGAGGATCGCTTACATCGTAGGCTCCAGCTTTGATCTGCTGATATAATCGGTGTTGATCCTCATCCCAGAAAGGAGGATAGCCAACCAGTAGAATATAAAGAATAACTCCTGTGTGTTCAGAGGGAACATTGTTACATAAACTAGTGGAAACGAATTGATTGACACAGGAGATCTGAATTGGCCTACACAGTGAGCAAGACAAAAAAATGAAATGAGTCAAGAGCTAAGTATCTTCCTGTATTGCCAACATCATCCCGATGTTGTATAAAATGGTTACTTCTTAACTGGAATGCCAAGGATTCAGACATAAGTGTGAGCTCTTTGCAGTTCAGTTTGAATCATCACTATCACAATTTGCCTGAAAATAAGACCCACAATTCCTCATGAAAAATTGTAAAAATAGCTCTAACATCAGCTTTCCGTTGAATGATAGCAGTGACTGCATTTATCTACCTAGTGGAAGGAATAGTTAGATATAATTCTACAAATAGATACAGGAAGTCCTCGACTGATGACCACAATTGGGACCAGAATTTCCAATGCTAAGCAAGGCGGCTGTGCCTGATTTTACTACCTTTTTTGCCATGTTGTTAAGCGAGTCACATGATTAAGTGAATGGTTTCACCCACTGTCGGAAGCTGGCTGAGAAGGTTGCAAATGAAGATTACATGACCCTGGGACAGTCGTAAATACATGCAGGTCCCCAAGTGCCCAAATTTTGATCATGTGACTATGGGGATACCATAAGTGTAAGGACTGATCGTAAGTCCCTTTTTCAGTGCCATTCTAATTTTGAATGGTCACTAAACAAATGGTTGTAAGTCGAGGATTACCTGTAGCAGGTTTACTAGGCAGCCCAGGCTTCAGGAGACTTGTCTTTTCCTGGTGATTGGCTAAAAAGTCAGAAAGCTTTGACAATCACTTTCTATAGGATCGCATTTTCTCCCAATACCCCATCAATGGAGAATTCAAAGAATGTTTTAAAGTCCTTCAGCTTTAATGTAGAGCCCATTGTCTGAGACAAAGCTGAGCTGAACCTTTGAAAGCAATGATCTTCTGACACTGATCTTTATTTTTGTTGTAATAAGTGTCCAAGTGGGGTTAGTTATCAATAGAGGAGAGAAAAATAAAAGTTAACATTTCTCAATTTTTGTCATTTTTCCAGTCATTAGAATTCTTTATTGGCCTAATGTGATTGGACACCCAAGGAATTTGTCTCCGGTGCAAAAGCTCTCAGTGTACATGCAAGCAACAAGTGATAAATCATGATCATAATCATAAAATACAATCATCATCAAACATAAGATACAAACTCAGTAAATAAGCAAACAACATAAATCATAATAGGATACTAAATAAAGGCAATCAACATAAATCATGACATATAAACAACAAAATTATAGTTCATAAGAAGCTAAGGAAATAGGTAATAGGAAAGATGAAAAGATGAGAAGGATAATCAACCTGTCATTTTTAAAAAAATCAGCAGCATGAAAGCACTTAAATATTTTTATTATGAATGTTGTTGTAAAAAGATGTTAAATTACAAACAGGATGACTTTTGTTCCTAACATCTATCAGAATGGGGGGGAAATAACAAGGAACAATTCTCTGTTTACTAAGATTTATTGGGAACAAGGTTGCAGTAAAAACACCAGATTTCTGGCAAATACATTTGCTTTCAGATGTGGAACCTATTTTTAGGCAATTTTAACCACTAGATTCTGGCTTCCTTCCTTGCTTCCTTTCAGCGTAACAGGAAGGAGGGCAATCCAGTCTGCCCTTATAATTTGTTTACACAATGGCTACATTAGGAATCTGAGTATTTCCTCAACTAAGTTGTTTTGCTCCGCTATGGAAATAGGGCTGCTGGAATAAATGATTTGATTTTGACAAGGATTTCTTACAATAAGTCAATCCTAGGAATCAGGAATAGTCACTCCCTGTGCAGGAGAAAGCAAGCCTTAATGGCCTAGTGAAGCATTAATAACGGTCTTCATCCAATATTTTAAAAGGGTTCTGTGGGAGATCCAGAAAATTACAGCACAGGCAGTTTAACATGTTCCAGACAAATTGGAAGAAACTATAATCAAACCAAAAACAAACTAAGCCCACAGAAGGATAAGGCTTGCTGAAGAAAAACCAGTATGGATTCTGAAGAGGGGAAATCTGTCTCACAAATCATTTAGAGTCTTTTGCAGGCCAGCAGGCCATGGATGGTGAGATCCAGGGGTGAAATGCTCCCGGATCGGACCCGATCGTCCTATTTGGTAGTGATTTTAGCTGGTGGTTTGGCGATCCGGTAGTGATGGCGGAGCATAGTTCCACCCACCGAGCCGGGTGTCATTACTTCCTGGTTTTAACCAGGAAGTAATGTGTTTTTTAACCTTCTGTGCATGTGCAGAAGGTCTGCGCGCGCCTGTGATGAGTGCGCGCACTTCCAAACCGGTAAGGAAGGTAAGTAGATTTCACCCCTGGTGAGATCCTTTCAATAGTGTATACCTAGAGTTTCACAAGGCCTTGACAACATTCCTCATAAAAAGTTCCTGAGTACCTTTATCTCTTATGGGATTAGATGATTCTGTCCTAATATTTTTTATAACTGATGAGAAACCAAAGCGTAGGAACATGTGGCCATTGTTTTCAATGGAGAGTTCTTCAAGGATGAGTGTTGGGAGCAAGGTGTTTTATCTTGTCCATACATTATTTTCATTTAGAAAATAGTGCTCAGTTGGAGAAATTTGCATATATCATCAAACTATTCTGATGCATGTTGGAGAGCAAAAACTCTTAATGCCATACCTAAACTGATAACATCTGCACTGTCTATAACTAACCAGAGGTCCTTACTTAACGATGATAATTGGGACCAGGATTTCTGTCATTAAACATTGTGATCCTAAAGTGCAACATTACAGCCAGCTGTGTGAGCATGGCCAGGCAGGAGGGTGCTATGGCCTGCCTAGATGGGCACGCATGTGTTATGGAATGTGGGCAGGGATGTGCTGTGGGCAGGTCCATGATGCAGAATAAGTGAAAAAAGAACTGGGAATAACAACTCAAAGGAGGGACTTGCATGCTCATATTTTTTGTCATAGGATTTCATTTTAACCTTTTACTTAGGTTAATGGTGATATAGAATCTAGCTTTCCCAAATTAATGCCCTCCAATCTATCACATTTCAAATGCTTATTTGAAAGCATCAACCAAAGTGATTTCTGAACACATATAGAGCACACCAGTTGGGGAAGGCATTCATAAATAGCCAATCATAAATAGCCAATCCCATGGACAAGCTACAAATGGACAAAAACCTGGTAATAGATCCCAAGGGACCCTTTTTCTGTCCCTAAGTCAGGGGATCCCAACCCCCAGTGCGTGAACCCGCACTGTTTCACAGCATGTCAGAAACTGGGCTGCCCAAACAAATGCAGCCCGATCCAAGAGATGCAGGCAGCACATGAAGCCATGCCTTCGATCTGCGAAAAACCTCTCTCTACGGAACCAATCCCTGGTGCCCAAAGGTTTGGGAACCACTGCCCTAAGTTACTATCTTCAGCATCCTTTGAAATATGGTCTCACTTACCACATGCCCAAAGGTCAACAGCTTTGCCATAGGGATCCTTCCGGAGCACTTCAGGAGAAAGGTAACCTGGAGTGCCTGCAAAACCTGTTAATTGTCAAAATAGACAGCTAATTACACTATTTGCCCCCAGGAGAATCAACAACTTTTCATTTAGAACAATTCTCAGTCTTGGGATTTCTTATTACATGATAAATATTAAGAGCTGAAATAGCAGGGAAAATTGTCATCTCCCGAGCCTCGTGTTCTATTATGACGCACATACTGTGAGAGCTGTTCTTCTAACTTCTACTCTATTTGGATCCGGGTTTACTGCTCCCGCTACTCCCAAATGCTTCCCAAACAGTCCTATTTTTCTCTCCCCTAAAGCTGAGACTGCAAGCAATCTATTTCCCCACTGGAGGGAACTCCTCCTCCTGGTTTTGAGTTCACTCTATACAGTCCGGTACTGAGAATGTCTGATTGATTGCTTCCTATCTCTTGCTTGGTGACACATGAAAATGACAAAGTTTTGTTAGCCTGCAAACAAAACCAGCAGGCAGGTCTTGGTCTTCTCTTCCTTTGCTTTCTTCCCCTCTGGGATGGGAGGATATTTATTGCTTGCAGGGCCTTTGGCAGCCAAGCAATGATTCCACTCTTGATTTTCACAGCTGCAGGTCTCATAGATTTGAAGAGGATCACTAATCATCCTCCAATGTGTTTTGAGGGATTATGAAGGACAGGCAACAGCCAACTGAAAGCGCCTTGCATCCCACCGCTCGCCCAGCCAGACGAGCACTATCAGATCAAACCAATGACAGCGCTGTGAAGTCTCAAAGCAATCATCTTTTCCAGCCTTGTTATTCAAGATCCTTCTGGGACTTTTTTTGGTTGCAGAAGCATGTGCTGCACTAGTATATTTGCAAAATGTATTTATGGCTTAGAAATTATAAAGGTATTCCCTTAATAGCCTGTGTCTACAGCTCAAAGATACAATAGTAACAGACATTAGGATGACCTAATCAGCTTGCAGTTATTACGACTTAATTAAACCCCAGCTGGTACTCCAGATTTATGTCTGTCTGTCTGTAAATGCATACTTTCTCTCAATTGGAGTGGTAGCTGGCTTTATCATCATATAATATTATACACACAGAGATACAGAAAGAAATGTCTAAATAAATGCCACCGGGGAAGACTAATATGACCACAGTGAACATATTTGTTTCTATGATCCCTTAAATTAAGGCACTTTACTTAGTCTAAATCAGGGTAGTTGACTTTTTTCAAAACAGAAACTCCATTGAAGTAATTAGTTTTAGAATACAGACTATTTCAGCAATATGTGATTCTCATACATCTGACATGTTGTAAATAATCACATCCTAGAAATTTAATCCTTTAGCTTGACCTGGCAGAAGATGCTTAGGAATGACCTGGCCAGAATAAAGCTTTAAACACAGCAGCTGATTGACCCTCTCAGAGCAGAGAATACAGAATTTTTACACATATACAGTATACTTCAGTATTGAAACCGTTGGATTCTTCCTCCTTGCTTTGTCAAGTTAACAGATACATGGTGGTTTGCTTGGTGGCATTGGGTGGCTGAGATATGGCTCTTCCCAGACTGGAAGGTATTGATTCCTGATTTGTTGGCTTCAGCCTTATACCAGTTTACTTTCTTTCTTTTTTAATATAATTTTGTTGAAAGTTTTAGCAAATGAGAATAAACACGAATACAAACTAAAATAGAGTAAGAAGGGGGAAAAATACAACAACCAGAGGAAAGTATTAATCTATCGTTTTTAGTTGTAGAAAAATACCAATTCACAGTAGTGCAGAATTAATGCCCTGCTTTATTTTACTGAGAGAGAAAAATGTATTTTGCCCAATTGCGCACATACACACACAAAATGGAACCTCTGTAAGCCCAGTTTTCTTCTACTCACCAAACCAGGCCTGCTGTTCTCCTTCTACTTCAATAGCAAGACCAAAGTCAGCTAGTTTAACAGCAGCTCCCTTCAGTTTGGAGGCCAGCAAGAGGTTCTCTGGCTTTAAGAGAGAGAAAAGAGAAGGGAACAATAAAAATGCAAAGAAAAAAAGGTCCCACTTTTCTCTTGTGACTGAGATGCATAAGTGTTATAAACAGAACACTAAACTTGGCACACCTTTGCATCTCTAAGAAGACAAATTTATATTTCTGGGAAATATGGAGAGAGCAATAAATTTATTTTTAATAGGAAGGCTAATGAACAAAAACAATGCAAGAACATTTAAAAAGATGAAGAAAAGAGGCTGTGGATGAGAAACAATGTATAGAAAGATTGATTGATGGGGGGAAAAAGAGGTTGAACCGTGGCATACAATGTGTTAAGACAGAAAATGGAAGCTGCAAATGAGAGACAAGAAATTAAGATTAAAAGTGGCAGAGAAAATGCAGTATTTAAATGAATAAAAACCATTTAAGAAAACAATTAAGCAAATGGAATTCAGAATAAAAGTGAGGACTGCTTTGAGCTGAAACTGAAGTGAGAGAACATCCAAAGAAATACTGTAAAGGCTTGTATGGGAATAATGATGATATGCCAGAATAACATTGAAGTGGATACTATTAACTTAGATTATTTCAATTTGCTCTACATGGGGCTGGGGGTGAGCTGACCCAGAAGCTATAGCTGATAACAGAAGGTGATTGCAAATTTACTGACCACCAATTCAATAGAACCACACCCACCCGGCAGAAGGTGCTTTAGTTGCCAGGAAACTTCCAAGCCCAATTCAAAGTGCTGATTATTAACTATAATGTATTTTAAGTCTTAAATCCTCTTTTCCTTTGGACCAGGGATGTCAAACTCAAGGCCTGCGGGTCAAATTTGGCCCACGGGGTGCTTAGATTTGGTCCACAGGACCACCCTGGAAACAGCAAAGAATCAGCCGCAGTGCCTCTGCCAACAAAAACGGAGCTCAGGAGGGCCACGCACAGCCCTCCTGAGCTCCTTTTTCACTGGTAGAGGGTTGCAGGAGGCCATCACGGCTGAAAACATTTTCACTGGCAGAGCACTCAGGCCACCACAGGTGGCCCCAATATGAATGGCTTCAAGCTGGCCATGCTCCCCCTGGCCACACCTCCCTGGCCCCACCCCCAAGGTCAAACACAACCCTGATGCAGCCATCAATTTCAAAGCAGTTTGAAACCCCTGCTTTGGACAATCTACTTCAGGGGGATTCTGCCTGCCTCATACAGTCTACTTGGAGAGAGCACTATAGACTCCTGGCCCCTGAAGGTTGTTACTGTTTTTTTCAGTAACAGCCTCCTCATTATGGAAAATGTTGCCCTCGTTGAGTCAGAATGACCTCCACCTTTTTATGGGATGATGGCTAAAAACACTTAAATTTTCACAGAACCTTTAGAATGGAAAAATCCTTCAACAATTGCATAAGGGTGTTTGTTTATTACCCACTGCAGTCCAGAGATTCCCGGCAGCTTATGTAAAGTATAAAGCCAAATAAAATATCAATCTAATTATAAAAGAATTAAAGAACTGGAGCCACACAGAAAGCTATAAGTGATAAAAAATATAAAATGAAGATGGCTTGCTAAAATCAAGAGAAGACTTTCTGGAACATTTGGAAAGTGCTTTTGAAATGTTAGCAAATAGGGGACTGGAATCTAAAGCAGTTCCTCTCTGTTTGATTGAATTGGTTGGGCTGTTACTGGTATGAGTAAGTGGTCCTACAGATATATCCAAGTGCCAGGCCAGAACAGCTTAAATCAGCAGCTTAAATTGCACATTATCAAGAGAAGATTTTTATTTCATGGAATACACTTTCACTCTAGGTTTTGTGAAGGAAGTTTTAACCAGAGGAATGCTTTTAATTCTTTCAATTCTACAATGTATAAATATTTTACCTTTAAATCCCGATGCACCACACCCATCTGATGACAATGCAAGACAGCTTCCAGGATCTGCTGAATACAATGGCTAGGAAGAAGAAACATTGTCACATTATGTCATATTCCTCGTTATGGGTAATGGCCCGAGATAATGTTTCTCAGTGGTCTCCATTTCATGCTTCACTCCTCCTCTCATTTTCTATCTTCCTATGTGCTTTTCTGCTGAGAGCCAAGCAGAACAAGCTTTCATTACAATTTTAGCTTATTTAACAAAGAGAAATCTGACTCTGTAATGAAAACCCACCAGGGAATCTTTTAGCGTTACTAAGGCTCCTTTCTTTAAAAAAATAACAAAAAGAACTTAGAGGTTTCTTTATGAGGTGATAGCAAAAACAACCTTCTCGCATAAATGTTGATTTTAGATGACATGACCATCCCAACAGGGCTACCATTACTGGGCTGCAAAACTCCAGATAACAATGAGATAGCAAGAAGGTCCCGCTATTTGGCATCATCTAGTGCTCATTAATATTTGGTAGATTTGATATGGTAGCCATAAGAACCATCTTGTTGGTAGATCTCACCAGGGTTGCTAGATGAGGTATAGGCATCATGCAGGAAACATAAAGACACAGGTGGCAGAACAGACAGAAGAGCCACCTGTAAAACGAAATGACTCGATTCACAGATGCTAAAATGCAATTGGGTCTCAATTTCAAGCCTGCAGCAAATTTGTATGCATTAGGTTGGGTATCTTTTACCTTCTGCAAGGCAATCTCATGGATTATCTTCTCTGTGTTAGATACAATTTGCTTTACAAATTGGAGGAAACATTTATTTCACAAAGACCCAATATACCCACCTAGGTCAGTATTACATTGAATTTTAAATGATCAAATTTAAATTGGAAATTCAGATACAAATTAAGAACCATAAAAATGAACTGAACTGAAAAGGAAATTCATTATTTGTGAGATTGAAAGGCATACATTACTCTTGATTATCTAAATCAGACCTTTGGCCTAGAGAATTTTCCTTTTTCAAGGGAAGGCTGAAGGCCACCGATCTCAGTTGCAATTTAGTTACGATGGGTTCACAGATTGTGCCAAGCATCATACAGCTTCATCGAGTTCAGTTTAGCATGTTATGTAAACCTGATCTATTTTGTATAAATCATACTTTATAATGAATATGCTGTGTGAATTCATTTAATAAACCATAGTACAGCACGATGTGTGATCCCCTGTATAATCTTGACCACAAAACATGCTAATCGCCTGCAATTATCTAATCCCCATTAAGCCTTCGCCCACCTGATTAAAAACAGTATTTTTCCTCTTGTTTCAGTGAAATTATCACAGAATGTTGTGATATATAGCATCACAGATTGCTGCTATTCTAAAAAGATAATAATAATAATAATAACTATTATTAACTATTATTAATTATTAACTATTATTATTATTAAGCTATTAACCAGCCTCAAAGGCTGTGAATCTCACTAAAGATTAACCAATTAATAATAATAATAATAATAATAATAATAATAATAATAATAATAATAATTTTATTTCTATACCGCCCTTCTCCTGAAGGACTCAGGGCAGTGTACAGCCTATTTAAAAACAGAATAAACATCAATTTAAAATAATTTAAAAATATTAAATAAATTTGGCTTAATTTAAAACCCCCAAAATTTAAAACATCCAATTTAAAATTATGTTGCTAACCCAGCCTGGCGGAACAACAGGGTCTTGAGTGCGCAGCGAAATACCCGGAGGTCAGAAATCTTACGAATTTCCGGGGGCAGTTCATTCCACAGGGCTGGGGCTCCCACAGAGAAGGCCCTCCCCCTGGGTGTCGCCAGCCGACATGACTTGGCCGACGGCACCCTGAGGAGACCCTCTCTGTGGGAGCGGACATAATAATAATAATAATAATAATAATAATAATAATAATAATAATAATAAAGCCCTAGTATACTAATGGTTGAAATGTAGTCTTAACAGAAGAAATAGGCAGGCCTAACCGAGCAAGGAGCTGAAAATAAATTTTATAAGTGAAAAAAGTAATGTTTTCACTCTTCTGGCCTATCAATTTCAGATAGAAAATTTAGAAACCAGTTTTTCTAGATAAGTGTTTTTCAGCCGTAGCAACTTGAAAATGTGTGGACTCCAACTCCCAGAATTTCTCAATTTGCCTGCTAACAGGGGAATTCTGAAAGTTGAAGTCAACCAATCTTAAATTTGCCAAAGTTGGAAAACATTCTCTTAGAAATACTTTGTTACCTTCCGGTACCTACCTGGCATCTGCTTCACTATAGTATTCTCTGGCAACAATGTCTTCAAACAGCTCCCCTCCAGTTACACTGAAAAGAAAGGAAAAGAAAATCAGCTTCCATTGATTGACAACGCCAAATAATCACATGTACTATGTAAGGACCTTGATCCAAATTTAGGTAAGTATCAGACAGAAAGAGTTTAGTCGATGCAGGCTGAATTGTAGAGGATAGTGGGCTCACTCTGTGCTCCTAATCTCATGATGACTCTGTCAATCTTAATCGATGCCAGGGCTTACACAGTATGGTTATTCTGACCTAAATGCATGCTCATATATATTGGGGTTTGATTTTTTTTTTCAATTTAGTGATTGACTGTAGGGAACAATTACCATTGTTTTGATCACTGATATATACAGGTAGTCCTGGATTTACAACAGTTCATTTGGTGACTATTTAAAGTTACAACGGCTCTGAAAAAAGTGATTTATGACAATTTTTTACACTTACAACCTTTGAGCGTCCCCATGATCATGTGATCAAAATTTAGATGCTTGGCAACTGACTCATATTTATGACGGTTGCAGTTTCCCAGGGTCATGTGACAAGCAAATTCAATGGAGAAGCCAGATTTATTTAACAACCATGTTACTAACTTAAGAACTACAATGATTCACTTAACAACTGTGGCAAGAAAGGTCCTAAAATGGGGCAAAACTCACTTAACCAATGTTTCACTTAGCAACAGAAATTTGTGGCCCAATTGTGTTCGTAAATTGAGGACTACCTGTAATTCCATAATAAACTAGCAATTATGAAAGGCATATATGTTTGAGAAAGCAGGATACTAATATATAAATACACACCTGAAGGATATTGTAACTTGCCATATTCATGGTAAGATAGGTTGTAAGAATAGGGGACTTTTTAAAAGAAAAAAAATACTGCATGCCATGCTAGATTCACAAGTCTGTTTTTTGCATATGCAAAACTATGATGAATGGCAAAACAGAAAGGCTGTTCAAAATAGCTTTAGTTTCTAATCTGCCTGGATATTTTTTGAGACCACCAAAATGAAGTTAAATAGAATTTTTAAAAAGTATGAGTTAAAACTAGATATTCCCTCAAGGGCAGGAGCTTTACTGGAAATGACTGAATGTAATACATATGCGGGACCATTAAAGGTGAACAAACATTAATGGGATTTGCTGAATGCACTGAATAAAAACACTGTGAAAAGTTAAAGCTTTGAAAAGTAATTACAGCTTGATATCATATTTGGATGAAAAATGGCAGATGCCCAATCAAGGGGGATGACGGGAGTACTTGGGTTCTTTAGAGCTGAGAGATTGGGAGCTGGGGTCAACCAATCAATCAATCAATATGGTCATTGACTAATTCAAAAAAATGAGAAATTTTGAGACCACAAATAAAAATTATAATAACACTAATGAGCCTTGGAGGTTGGACAGCCTTGCTATAGGGTCTCCTGCTTGAGCAGGAGGTTGGACTAGAAGACCTCCAAGGCCCCTTCCAACTTTGTTATTCTGTTCTGTTAATGATAAAAACATGATCTCAATGTACTACATATTCTACCAATATTAAAGCAAAATTTAAAGAAATAAAATTACATTGGTGTCACAAGAATAACCGTTAATAGAATGAATCCAGGTGGCCTACAAATATTAGATAATTAGATGTAATCAGTGATCTTTGCAGTCAGGACAATATAACAGAACATGGCAGGAAGTGTGTGGGGGAGTGGATTCCCTGGGATATGGAGGAAAATCTTCATTGTTGGGAAAGAAGAGGAATGTCTGTGGGTTTTGAACTATTCTTCTTCAATGAACATAGTTTGAAGAAGGACTATAATCCTAATTCATACATTTGTCACATATAACCTCATATTTCTTTTATGCATGAGTGAGATTTCCATCAAGTATATATTTTGTTTTGTTTTATTTGCATAGTGTCTTGGCCATTTATGGATAGGGCAATTGACTTTCAGCATCACAAATTCTATACCTTGCTATCTGTGAGGAAGTTATTAGATTTTTCATTCCCTAAACCAGTTTTTCCCAACCCTGGCAACATGGTGCTAAGCCATGGTGGCGCAGTGGTTAGAATGCAGTATTGCAGGCAAACTCTGCCCACAGACTGGAGTTTGATCCTGATTGGCTCAAGTTTCCATCCTTTCGAGGACAGTAAAATGAGGAGCCAGACTGTTGGGTTGATATGCTGACTCTATAAAACCACTTAGAGAGGGCTGTAAGCGCTGTGCAGCAGTATATAAGTCTATGTGCTATTGTATTAAGATATGTGGCTTCAATTCTCAGAATTCCCCAGCCAGCATGAGCCTTAAAGTTGCCATGTTTGGGAAACTGTTCTTGGCTTATAGAGCATCTATGTCTTCCTAGTGTTTTCCAACACAGTGTTTCTTGCTTGTCTAATTGCATACCTTCTTGGAATTATAAGACCCCCATTTCCATCCCAATCTTGCTCTCTTGGTAGAGACAGAAATAAAGAAACCAAGAGCAGCCTCTGGGAAGAAAGGTTAGAATAAAACAGGTATTTTGATTATGTGAATTTTACAGTAATGAATCTAAGCTGAAACTTAGATCTTAGATCCTTTAGATCCTGCCTGCTTAGATCTAAGCAGGCAGGATCTAATTTAAAAAAAATGGAGAGAACAGTGCAAGAGCAGCTGGTTCTCCAGGGACTCCATGTTAAAGATGCTAATTTTTGCTCTAATAACTTTGAAAGGACTGATCTGCATAAAGAGCAATGGCAATTCTATTAAAGCTGCATGCCTCATAAGGGGGCATTTAAATGCAATCATTTCATGAGTTGATGAAAATTCCAAATGTTGCCGTTCTCCATTTGGGACCATCACAGATTAACCTACTCCATTTCCCATCTTTTTTAACTATGGGAAATGCCTTGAGGAGTAAGAGATGGAATAGTTGCATTGTGTTTTTTTATTAGCTACTGCAGGAAACAGCTCTAACATCTAAACCATTTAGTTACTACTTTCTGATCAGAATGGGGCACAAGCTATCTGGCCAAGGTATCTAAGAATGAGTGTCACCATTTCAAAGTAGAAACAGAGGATAGTTTTTAAAAAATTGTCCATGATGTATATCACTTGACTCATAACTGATAGTCCGGAAAGTCAAAAAACCATCCCGGAAAAAGACCAAAGCAACCATTTCAGTATCACTCCTAAGAAAACTTCACTAGGCAGCCAAACTTGATTGAATGGTTCTTTATGGTTTCTCATTAAATGGGGGCTAATGTTTTTTGTAGCACTAACCTGTTTTTTGGGAAGATGGTAACAGAACAACAAAAAACAGTGTGTACACACCATACACAGCAAGAGATCCAATATGCAACATGGAATTCCCTGGAGAAAAGCACCCTATGGAAGATGAAGTAGGTATGCATGTTTGTGTCTATAATCTTTTTATTTCGTGGAACTCTCAACATGTATATGAAAATGTTTGGACTTTCTGTAATTACTTACAGGTCAAATATCAAATAATGGTGTGCCTCTTCTGATATGCTGTCATGGAGTCTCACTGCAAAAATAAAATAAACGTAAGATTATTATTATTATTATTTACTTTATTCATTAAACATGAAACTCAGTCAACTGAACATTCAAAAATGCATCACAAATACCATTGACTGGTGCTAATGGTTGATACAGGTTTCTGCCAGTGTCCTAGGTATCAACCAAGTACCTTCTTAATATGTACGATGTTCCAAGTAGTGCAGTTTTTTGCAGTTCCGCTGGTGTTATTGCAGGAAGCTGCAATTTGTTGATGTATCTTATAAAATTCTTGGACATGGTACCAAGTGCCCCGATGACAATGGGTATCACTGTTACATGTAACAGTGATTATTTTTATTATTATTATTTATTTTTATTATTGGATTTGGCATTTTGTCCATCTATTGAGTCCTTCCCAAGGACCTGGATAGGCTGATGTTGTTTGATGGCTATTATCACAGGTTGAAAGCTGTTCCAAGTAAAACTGCCTTTTGCAATTGACAAGTGGTCATTTTGTCAATGCCAATTGGATTAAATGGAGCTCCAGATGTCACTATAAAATATTATTATGTCTTTATCTAATAATTGAATTTTTTTACAATTCTAACAACAATTTAATCTTTCAGTTCTGTGGTTCAATAAAACACTGCCTTGCTATAATGTGAAAGTACAAGAGCAAAAAATAAAACAATATTGAAACCCATCTCTTTCATTTTCTCAGACATGCCTCCTCTTCAGTACTCAGTACTGCCAGGAGTTGAAACCCAAATACATCTATAGGATGCAAACACAGAGATGTTCTTTTAGACCATGACTATATTGCAACATTTCCATGGGAAATAATGATGATATCAGACTGTGAAACTAATAGAATACAAAATTTGGATGTAATACAATGGAGAAGAGCAGAAGGAGATATGAAATTAAGAGAAGGCAGAAAGCAGACTTGGGACCAATAGATAGTTGTGATGTCCCGGTGCCTGGAGGCTGTGCAGATCTGGATGTGAAGTAACAGGCTTCGACTCAGCCCTTCCAAGACCGAGTGGCTGTGGCTTCCGGCGTCCCGATATAGCCAGCTGGTGCCATCACTGGCTATTGGGGGCGAGGTATTGGCCCCCACGGATAGGGCTCACAACTTGGGTGTCCTCCTGGATGCATGACTGTCTTTAGAAGAGCATATGACAGCCGTGGCCAGGGGGGCTTTTTATCAGGTTCGCCTGATTCACCAGCTGCGTCCCTTTCTGGATTGGGACTCCTTACGCACAGTCAGTTGTCCACTAGGAGAAGGGTGGGATACAAATTGAATAAAATAAATAAATAAATAAAAATAAAATAGTTATTTTGTATTTGTGTCCAGATGTGGATTGATGGGATTAGTATTGTTGCTGAGAATTGGGAATTTATTTGTTTCAATTCAAATATTCAATTCATTCAGCTTATATTAGCCAATAACATTTTTCAGATCTTTGTATTGTGTGTTTAAAGCTATTACAACAAAAGATGCATTGCATACGTTGCAATGTTGCTTTACCATTGTTCGCATCATGGCCTGGTTCAGAAAACAATATACACCTTGATTCATAGTATGATTTTAAATTAAAATAGGAAAATATGTATTGCTTCTAAGTTGTCATAAAATAGTCAACCGGCCATTGCTTGAATTCTTAGCTGAGTCATCTATGTGGTATAGCTTAGAAAATTTTCCTTTAACAATTAATTAACAATTAAAATGTGTTGGAATTTAAGTGTTAGTTCAGATTCAGGAGAAATCACTAATGTACATCAGAGATATATGAAAATATTTTAATGTTATTTAAGACAAGGGGATCATAGGTATTTAATGTATTTCCATGGATATTCAGCTTCTGGTTGTAATTCAATAGATATATTTTAAGGCACTCTGACTATATGGGACTCAAACGCACAAAAGCATTGCAGGTCTGAAATTTCACCTTGCTCAGAGAATTGGGAATGAATCGTAATTGTAATTTTCAGCAATTTTATCTGGAAATCACTATAGCTTATCCAGTTTCTTTTGTTTAGTAACATGTTGGATCAGGATAAAAGCTGAACAATATCACGGATAAGAAACTCTCCATCTTCCAAATAGCAATTGAGGAGATTCTCAGAAGTGCTGTAATCAGGGTTTAGAATAGGATAGAAATGTTTTACTCAAACTTCAGAATGTTAACCTTGGAATCCAACAATGAGTTATCAAATAGATGCTTTCTACTCAACCAATAACTAATGTAATTTGTTTGGCAGGGTACCTCAGCTTTAAAAGAAACCTTACTATCACAGCATTCTAGCAGGCAGGATGTCTATGGATGCGGGGCTTAATTTGATATTCTCTGACAAATTCTTGTGGACACCAGTTATCAAGTCAATCTTCCACCCCGACATCCCATCTGGAGATGGCTTCCATGTCTAAAGTGGCATTCCCTTTACTTCAATTGTAACTCTGAACAAACCTGGAAGCAAAATGTGGAGCATACCAGAGCATACAATCAATGAGGCTAATAGCTTAAAAACATCCAAAAAATCCTTCCTCTCCCATCTTTTTCATCATTAAAATGATCATAGGATTTGGCTTTTCCCATCACAAGAATAGCATAGTGAAAAATACACAAAGAAAGAAAATTGGTGTCAATTTATTATAGGAAATTTAAAATTTTTGTAAAGAAAAAATATGAATTCTTATTGAAAGAGCTTGCACTAATGAACCCCTTGAAAAGTTCATTCTTTAGAAGGATGCCAGGCTAGCTCTATAGATTTTACAATCCCTGAAAAGATAATACGTATTTCAGTTCTCATCTAATTTTGGTATGTTTCAGAATTACTTCATATTTCTGTGAATTAGAAATTCAAGTAAATGAGGGCAGAGATGATATTGTTGCCATTACTGAAACTTGGTGGGATGAAACCCACAAATGGAACATACAGCTAGAGGGATTTAAATTATTTAAAAGAAATAGACCAAGTAAAAGAGGAGGTGGAGTTGCACTATATATAAGAAATAACTACATCTCTACAGAAATAGAGCATAACAATGATGAAAATTATCTTGAATGTATTTGGGTCAATATTAAAGGGGGAAAAATGACATTGCCATAGGACTATACTATAGGGCACCCAACCAAACAAACAGAGGAAATAGATGGACTTTTTGCTAGTCAACTAACTAAGGTATGTAGGAAGGACATCACAATAGTAATGGGGGATTTTAACTACCCTGACATCAACTGGGAAACAAACTCTTCACCAAGTGCAAGATCCAACAGGTTCCTAACAAACTTAGCAGACAACTTTGTTTCCCAAAAAGTAGAGAAGGGAACAAGGCAGGGGTGAAATGCTCACGGTTTGGACCGGATCGCCCAATCTGGTAGCGATAGCGGTAGGTGGTTCGGAGAACCGGTAGCAAAAATCCCTGTCCCCACCCCCATGCCCAGCTTAGCTGCACGATCATCAGAGGTTTTTTTTTTTTTTTACTTTTAAAAGCATTTTTTCTAAAACGTCTTCAGCCAAAGAGGTTGTAAAAAAATGCTTTTAAAAGAAAATAAAAGCCTCTGACGATCAGGTAACTCAGCTAGGATGTCAGAGCCTTTTAAAAGCATTTGTTTTACAACCTCTTTGACCGAAGAGGTTGTAGAAAAAATGCTTTTAAAAGTTAAAAAAAAAAAGTTGGCCACGCCCACCCAATCACATTACTAACCCACTAACCCATGCCGATAGAACCAGTAGTAACAAATTTTACATTTCACCACTGGAACAAGGGGATCAGCCATATTGGACTTAATTCTCACTAACAGAGATGAAATGATATAAGGTGTTGAAGCTACAGGAACCTTGGGGGCAAGTGATCATGTAATATTGGAATTCAACATTATGCAAGAACAAAGTCAAACTAGAGTTTGGACTTTAAGAGAGCTCATTTCAATAAACCTAGAGAGATCTTGGGAAGGATTCCATGGATGAGAATCCTCAAGAGGAAAACAATTCAAGAAGCTTGGGAAATTTTGAAAAGTGAGATTATAAAAGCCCAGTCTAGCACAATACCAATGAAGAAGAAAAATAATAGCTCTCAAAAGAAACCAGCATGGCTGCATAAAGAACTCTCTGACAAATTGAAAGACAAAAAGGACAAGTATAAAAAGAGGGGCATGTATCTAAGGCAGAATATCAGCAAATAGCCCGAGTCTGCAAAGATGAAGTGAGAAAAGCTAAGGCTCACAATGAAGAAAGGCTTGCGACAAAAGTAAAAAAAAACAAAAAAGCTTCTTCCAAAAACAAGACAAAAGTCAAGGAAACAATTGGTCCATTGCTGGGAGAAAGTGGCAAGGTGACAAGCAACAGAGCTACTTAACTCATTTTTTGCATCTGTGTTTACACAAAGGGAAAAAACAGTCCAACCTATCAAAAACAGCACCACAAAAATCAGATTAGGAACACAAATTAAAATAGGGAAGAACATGGTAAGTGTGCACCTGTCTACCCTAGATGAGTTTAAATCACCAGTACTGGATGGATTACATCCAAAGTTTCTGAAGGAACTGGCAGACAAGATCTCAGAACCATTGAACTATATCTTTCAAAGATCCTGGAGCAGGGGGGAACTGCCAGAGGACTGGAAAAGAGCTGATGTAGTTCCTGTCTTCAAAAAAGGGGGAAAAATAGATCCAGGAAACTACAGACCTATCAGCCTGACCTCAATACCAGGGAAGATTCTGGAAAAGATAATCAAGCAACGAATCAGCAAACACCTAGAAGTAATCAAAGTAATAACCAAAAGCCAACATGGGTTTATCAAAAACAGATCATGCCAGACTAATCTTATTCAGGGGTGGGTTCTAAATTTTTTTACTACTGATTCTGTGGGCATGGCTTATTTTGTGGGCATTGTTTAATGGTCATGTGACAAGCAATTCTTTAGGATTTAGCAGAAGTACTGGTCTACCAGGCTTTTAACTGTTTGCAGAGCTATACCGGTCTACCCATTTGTTTTTGGAGCTTTCCAGTCTACCCATT